GCGGCCAGCAGGGGGTAGGGGGCAGGCCAGGGTTGCCATGCTTCGGCCTGGCCCTCCCTGGCAGCAAGGGGAGAGCCGGGGCTGCCTACTCCCAGAAAGAGAGGAGTTGATGATTGTAGCAAATGTGAGGCACAGTGCCCTAGCTTGTATATATAAAGATAAAGGATGTATGGTCACACAACCTCCTCCAGAGCACCCCCTCATGGCCAGAGATGGCTCTGCAGCATCCTACTTCAGTTCTCCTCTTCAGGGGGCTTCTTTATAAATTTCCACATAGGCTTTTTTGTTCAGTAATGCCAATTTATTAGCATAAGACACAATTCCAGAACTCTGTCCTGGAGTTTCTTAACTTCCCCCAGTCTCCTCTCTGGAGCTCTTTTCAGCCTTGACAGGCCATTCGCAGCCTACAGAGCCGGATACTTTTTCCACTTCAGTGGAATCTGTTATCCCTGGCCTTCAGACTGCTCACCCCAGCTTTTCCTCAGTCTTTGCCATGGCTTCCTCTAAACATACCCCCTCTCTCTGAAGCTTCCTGCTACTTTTATAAGGGAATCACCTGAGCTCTGCTCCGGTGTGCCATCTGATTAGAGTTGGCTGAGCTCAAGCCATTAGGTCTTAAAGGGGCAAGCTAACCTATTACAGGACAAAAATATACAAAAGTGCTTGGAGTGCCGAAATCTTGTGTATTTAGGTGCTGGTTAATTTCAAAGCACAGTTGCTAGAGAAGAACTGGATTCAGTCCCAGCACTTCCCTAAAGCCAGATTTACTAAACATTTCCATAAGGTGGGCTATCTGTTAGTAGAGAGATCATCAAGCCAACCCTCTCCCCTCCAAATCATGCTCCAGTTTGTGATCACACAGTGTCTCACTCGCAATAGGGAATTGCATGTGTGAGATTTTGCAGTGTTGCCATCCCAAGTGCTCAAAAATCATGAGTCAGGGCCTTTCAGAATCATGAGACTGGCTTGAAAAATATGAGATTTTTAAATATGAAGTCTCCCCTGTGTATGCACAGTTCCTCTGGCTGGACCTGAATCAAAGCAGCTGCACTAAGTGATCATTTCAACAGTCCTAACTGGCTTTGCAGACTCCATAATTAAATTTAGTGATCATGATAATACTTCTGTATTACATTTCATCCGAGAATCACAGAGCACTTTCCATTATTTAACAGCACACTGCATTGCTTTGAGGTAGATAATGACTATTCCAATTTTATGGATGGGGGACAGGGAAGTGAAGTGGCTCATCCAAAGTCATGCAGTGAGCTGGTATTCCAGTTGACTGTGTCTCGAGTGTCAGTACCTGGTCCTAACCATTAGACCATAGTAGTTGTAGTTTGGAATTTTTCCCCCTTCTTTCTGTCCCCCATCATCTGAGCATCATGGTGTTTTTGTTCTACAACTCGATAGTTTTTAAAATGCCAGAATATTAGTTGAAAAGGGCACTGTTTTCTTGCGCCTGTGGTAAACTCCTAACTACTGTAAAGCTGAAAAAAGATGCATCGTGTATACTGCTGCTTCTCCACTGGAATCTTTGGAGTTGTACTGGCTTAGACAAGCAGTGAACTTGGCTGGAAGTTCCAGGCTTATCCCTGTTGATTTGCACTCTTACCACAGGTTATCAGAATATGTCTGATGAATTAGCTTTCTGATGAGTTATGAATGGCATTGCTGCTTCAGAAAAAAATATTAATGTGTGTGGCTGATTGAATCCTGCTGTGTACTTAGTCCTTACTCAGGCAAATTTCCCCTTGATTTCAGTCAGACTATTGTTCCTTCATTGTTAGATCCTCTTAAATGAGGGTCCCGGGATTTAAGACTTTTATAAGATAAGGATTGGCTGTCACTAATTTAGGATACAGTGGTTGGTAGTACATGCAGCCTGAGCGAAGAAGCTAAATTTTCTCTGTCTTTTCATTTATTTATTTGTTTCACCTTTAAATGCGTCCTGGAATATGTCTGGTTTTTTAGTGGATATGTTATTTATTCCAGTTTTTTGACAATTTATATATCTGCAAGTCTAATCATTTACTTTGGTTGAGCATGCCCCATGTTTCCTCTCAGTGAACTGTGCTGGAAAGGAGTAGTGATGAAGTGATATGTACTTGATGTGAAACTGTGTGTCTTTCTGTTTAGGTATTACCTGTAAATGATGAGCCACCTATCATGAAAGATGGCCTCATTCCCCTAATACAATGTCCAGAGGGTGAGGAAGTTGTGATCACTTCAGAATATATTTATGCCAATGATGCAGACACTGATGACATGAAACTGATGTTCATGCTGGCTCGACAGCCCTACCATGGGGTTGTGAAGAAAGCTGGTATCATTGTGGATCGCTTCTCCCAAGCGGACATTGTCTCTGGAGTAGTGATCTACAAGCATACTAGTAAGTGAAACTAAAAGCATTAGATTGGAGGTACAGCCAGATATCTTTAGGATTTTGTATAAATCCAGATTATGCCTAGCTCCTCACTTGGAGATACTGAAAGGCTGCATCTACACTACTGTATATAAATAACCGCATGCAAACACAGCTGCGTAAGGTGGCTGTGGCCCAAATGTGCTGGAACACACTTTCTAATTTCCTGTTTGAATGAGAAATCATCACATGGCCAGTTTATACAGCTGGGGTTTTAATCCTTCTAAATATATTCAACCATTGTTGGATATTAAGCTAAAATACAGTTCCTTAAGATGATAAAAATAAGTCATAACATCTTTGCAAGTATAAACATTTTTCACAACTAGGTTTGGATAAATCAAATTATTTTTATACACCAGAAAGGGCTGGAATATAACATTATTTTTATACTCCAGAGATTTAATAGAACAACTGAAGAGTCCCTCAAGTGGTTGATGTTGTCAGCATGGTAGACTGAAACACCTGTTCTGGAGAGTTTACAATCCTTTTGCACTAGAAAGTAAATTGTGTGGTTTGACAGACGGCCATAATATTAGCAGCGAGCTCTTTTTATTTTCTTTTTAAAATCAAAGCAACTTTTCTTTTCTATAAGCATCATACACGGTTTGGATTCATTTGATTACTTTTTGTGTTCCAAGTGTTTGCATGTCAAAAAAGCATCAATGACTGCACATGCAAATCAAGGTCAATTGCAGCTCCCTGAAAGTTCAGTCTTTAGGTTTCTCTTCAGGGGTTTTCCCTGGCTAATAAGTGTTTTCCTTGTATATGTGTGTGAACACTACTGTTCCAACTCTTGTTTCAGAATGGAGTTGAGAATAGACTTGACCTTTTCACTATGATTTCTATCTGTAGTTTAATTTGAGCAAGGAGGGATGCAGTTGAATATAGCCATTCTTGAGAGACTTATATGTAATGCCATAGAGGAACTGGGGAAATGTCTCTACACCTCAAGAGTTTATTCAGGCAAAACTGAGATTACTTTGGAGGCATTATAATATATTTTGTTGTCCATTTAGCAATAAACCCCCACATTTGGCAGTGTCAGTTCTGGGGAATATGCAGTACATATAGATATGAATATTTCTAAGTCCATAAAAAACATGCTGGTATGATTTTATTGCATCTTCTTCCTACATCCTTTTGTCAGTTATCTTCAGGACGTGGATGCATTTCCATCCTCCATCAGAGGATTGTCAGTGAAATTATAGGCCTGTTCTCCATTGATGCACAGGGGATTCACAACAAGTAACTCCCGTCCTTGATAAATTGGGTTTTGAGCTTTAATTGGTCGTGTGCAAAATAGACCTTCCCTGGAGGCAAAAGATACAAAGTAGATTATTTGTAGTAAATGGTATTGATTAACATATCATTTTTCATCTTGTTCTTAAACAGAGTAGGGCTGTATATAGATTCTGTTTGCAATCTCTGAAACACATATAACTGAGAAGTTTCAGTGTTTTCATTTGAATTGTGTTGATTTTATATCCTGTCTCTGTCCCAGGATAGACCTGTAGAATATTGTTGACTGCCCATGACTGATACAAGTCACTGCTTCATCGAGTTTTGGTTTCTTATTGTGGAATATCATCTATATAATTTTTCCAGGTGGGGAGCTTGGCCTGACCCCTTGCTTTGACACCCTAACCTTGGTTATCTCAGATGGTGAAGCTGGTGTGGATGTGAATGACTGCTGTTATGATGGACTTCTTCCTCCTCCAGTTCCACTTCATGATTCCTTTCCAGTATATGACCTTAACATCAGTGTATTTCCAGTGGACAACCAACCACCATCCATTGCAATTGGTGAAAAGCTTCCTCTTTATTTCTAGTCTATTATCTTATCCCTGTATAAGCTAGTGTTGGCTAAAGGCTAGCATCTCAATATTTGCTAGCACCAAAAATTGATCGGACAGGAAGATAAATATGCAAAACTTGTCATAGGGACCAATTTTTCAAACAGGCAGCCTTCTTTTCTGCAGGTATAGTTTGCACCTAGAATTTCATTTCAAGTGCAAATCTTAGTAATTGCCATTAGCTCAGTGTGCAAATCAGGTAGCTAGAGATTCAAATACTCAGATCTGCCCCAACTTTTTTTTTTCTTGCAAATGCTTCCAGAAAGTGAGGCTGAACCTCAGCCGTCTGAAAATTTACTCCATATCCTTCTAGTTAATAAATCATATAATAGAAATCATCCTGAACCAAAAACTCAGATCCAAACAGCCCTGAATGTCACAAAAAATTCAGAACTGATTAAATAACTGCTGGTATTACATGAAACAAAAATATAGCCATAAATATCTCTACTTTATCCTACTATATCTTAGAATGCATTTGACAAACTGGCCTTTTCCATATGAAGGTAGAGGGGTAATATTTATAGTACTTTCACTTTACTCTGTTAATTGATAAAGTCAAAGATAAGATTGTACACTTAATTCATTTAATATATGTTCTTACAAGGGTCAAAAAACAAATAGTAAAGAAAATAAGCCATCTTGTAGTTGAAAGCCTAAATTTAATCTACCAACAGACCATTGTTAGATAGATTTTTCCATTGACTTTGATGGGTTCTGAATCAGGCCCATAATACATGTCACAAAGACTCACTTTCTATGGATGTATCTTTTTCTTTTACAGTGCTATTTTATAAAGCTACTTATTGTAGGCATCATGTATATGTTCTGTACTGCAAAAGAACATTTAAACATATGTATGGGTAACTTTGCAATTTGCAGCCTATCACCCGAGCAATGTTCTGGAAATGAAGTATTGTCCCAGCAGGGAAATTAAGCTCTGATGCATGAAAAATTGTTCATTATGAGCAATTCGTAACAGCTCTCAGGCAATTAATGCTCTGAAAACAGAGGTAACAACTGATCTTGAGCAGCACATAAACCATACTTAATGGCTTATCAGTAAAATAGTTTTGTAATTTTCTCTTCAACCCCCACCCCACCTGCTTACCCCCACCTGGAAAGGAGAGTTGATACCATGATTAGAAAACATTTGCACCAGTCTGTTTGAAGTGCAGTTTCCCATTAGCTATTGTGCCAATTTCTTCAGTAAAACATCCCAGTAAGTTGAGTTAAATAATACTCATCATCATATCGTTTGTGTTTAGGTGCCATGTTTGTTGTGGATGAGGGTTTCTCAGCTGTCATTACCACTAACAATTTGTTTGCTACTGACCCCGACACCGCAGCAGATGACTTAGAGTTTGTTTTGGTTTCTCCTCCCCAGTTCGGTTACATTGAAAATATATTACCTTCTCCTGGGTTTGAGAAGAGCAACATTGGTATAAGTATAGGTAGGTGTAGAACCAATGGCAAGAACATCAATACATGCATGTTACATACATGATTAATGGATTGCCATGCAGTAGACTGATGTGTAATCATGGCAGATGCCATATAAGTGTATATAAATAAGGAGCATTGAGTCTGTGTTGGAGGGATTCAAATAGAGAATGTAACCCTGTGAACATAAAGAATTTGCACTCAGATAAAATAAGCATATTTCAGTGTTACACATTTGAGGTGCAGTCTGTATTAGAAATTACAATATATTAGCCAATTTTCTCTACTCTGCCTTGTCAACATTTCTCCCAACCTCCCTCCCTCAACACACATACCTGTTTTTTAATAGTAAATAACTTATAACCCTATGTGCATGATTTTAAAAAAATAGATGACTCAAGATAGACTCTAGGCCTATGTTTTCAAAATGACTTAGTTATTTTAGTTGCCTCACATTTGAGTCGGGGGGGAAGGCGGGAGAGGCTCCCAACTTCAGATGCTTTAAAGGAACCTAATTTTCAGAGCAGCAGTTTCTGAAAGTCAGGACTCTTACTGGTGTTTCAGGTTGGGCACCCCAAGTCACCAATCACTCTTGAAAGTGTAGGATTCTTGCAAGGGACTGAGTGATACAAGCCTCAGTGAGTCCCATTGGCTTTTGTGAGCCTCGGTTAACAGGCCTTCCCAAAATCTCTCCCACAGTCCCTGTTTAGACAAACCTTTTTCCTATCTAGTTACTTGTGTTTACTCTGTGCAAACCAGGTATCTTCCATAATGGGGGTGGTGCAGAGCTGCAGCATCCTAGGAGGAGCACCACGTCAGGCATTTGGGGGGCAAAGCAAATGGGACAGCTGCCCCAGAGCCCAGCAATTTAAAAGGACCTGGGGCTCCCAGTCACTGCCATCTCAGTTGTGGCAGTGGCCAAAGCCCCAAGCCCTTCAAATCGCTGCTGGACCCCCTCCCCACTCTGTTGGCATTCGCCCTGTGGCCCTGGTGCCACTGAAGGGTTGGCTGGAGAGACTAGCTCCTAGCCCCAGTCTTTCTTCTTTAGACTCCGTCCCTTCCATTGGGGGAAGGAAGGGAGACAGAACTGGCCTCCCGCAGGGCCTGGCAGTCCCTCATCAGCACTATTGTCTCAACCCACAGCAGCAAACCTCCCAATTTGTGTCAACAGATTCTGGCCAATACTGCTCATGCTAGTGCTCTAAAAATAGCTTTACAGACAGTGCTTTGAAGTTGTAGCTTAGCTGCTGAAGCCTACAGAGAGGGGTGGGCTTGAGAGAGTCTAAGCCACAACTTCAAAGTGCTGTCTAGAACATTAGTTCTCAAACAGGGGTATGGGTACCCACTGGGGCCTTTCCAATGGGTATGACAACTTGTCTAAATATTTGCCTCATTTTACAACAGGCTACATAAAAAGCGCTAGTGAAACCAGAACAAACTAATAGACAATGATTTATTTCTAGTGCTCTGTATACTATGCGCTGAGATGAAAGTACAATATTTATATTCCAGTTGATTTATAATATGCTAAACATGAGAAACTAAGCAATTTTTCAATAACAGTGTGCTATAACACTTCTGTATTTCTATGTCTGATTTTGTAAGCAAGTACTTTTTAAGAGAGGGGCAACTTGGGGGTACATAAGACAAATTAGACTCCTGAAAGGAGTACAGTAGCCTGGAAAGGTTGAGAGCCAGTGGTCTAGAGTGCTTGTGTGAACCCCTAAGTCTGTCGACCCCTTAGCTATAACTATTCAGACATACCTTACGTGGCTAGCTAGCACAGCTGGCTTGTGATTGGCAGGGCTGCATTAACTTTGCGGCACTGTGCACCCCAGACAGATAACACAGAGACTCTGCCTTCTCTGTCTTGAACTTCAGCTCAGCCATTATACATGTTGCACAAAGAATGGGAGATGGGGCTCTTCTAAACCCACAGTTATAAGTTCAATCCTTGAGGGGGCCATTTAGGGATCTGAGGCAAATCTGTCAGGGATAGTACTTGGCCCTGCTGTGAGGCCAGGGGACTGGACTCAATGACCTCTCCAAGTCCCTTCCTGCTCTATGAGATGGTATAAGATGAGGCAGACTATGGCTCTAAATGAAAAAGAACCTACCCAGGAATTAAGAAACTTACACTGATCTGGTCCTGCCTTGTGCCATTTACTTAAACCACTTCCACAATTGGACTACTGATAATCATATTTGATGAGTTTGGGCATGCAACTCTGAGCCATTTAAAATGCTTACATTTATACTACTGTAAGAAGCAGGAAGACACTGTTCACAGTGATGTCAGATTACCTGTCTTGGGAAAAGTCTGTACTTCTTTTGGCTCTAAACCTCGTGAGCTATGCTGGATTTGAAAGAAATTGAACATGACAGGTTAAATTCATTCCACATGTAACTTCACCTTGAGTAAGGATAATTAAAATGTGTACTATTTAGAAAGATGTACTATTTAGGCTTGGTCTACATTTAAAAGTTAGGTCAACATAGTTATGTTGGCCAAGGGTGTGGCAAGCCTCCCCCGTTCCTCCAGTGTCCAACATAAACATGCTGACCTAAGTTCCCAATATCAACACAGCTATGTCACCAAAAGAATGCTTACCTCAATGTATAGCTGACTTCATTTGGGGAACTTGTGTTCCCATACTGATGGGGAAAGTCTTTTCTGCATCTGCACTTTGCCTATGTAGCTACACAAATGTAATTATGACAGTATAGACTCCATAGTGTAGACAAAAAGGCTACGTCTAGACTATAGAGTTTTTCCAGGATACCAGTGGTATCCCGCAAAAACTCTGCCATGTCCAGGGAACATGTTTGCTCTTCCAACATTTTTTGTGAAAGAGCATACGTGCTCTTTTGGAAGCCCCTGTATTCCTTGTTTCATGAGGAAGAAGGGCTCTTCTGAAAGAGAAGATTTTTCCAAAATGTGGCCCAGGGTAGATGTAATGTCTACACTGCGCTGTTTTGCGCAAGAAATATGCAAATGAGGCAAAGCATGGAATATCACTGTGCCTCATTTGCATAATTCATGAACAGCCGCTTTTTGTGCAAGAGGCTTTTGCGCAAAAAGTGTCCGCTCATTAATTATGCAAATGAGGCACGGCAATATTCCACACTTTGCCTCATTTGCATATTTCTTGCACAAAACAGCACAGTGTAGACATAGCCCTAGTGTGGTTCGCTGTCCCATGCAGTGGCACCTAGACCACAGCAACAGCTAAGAACAAGATACCTCTAAAGCATTGGCTGAGACCTAGATGGCTTTTAGCTCAAAGAGTAGAGGCTCCTATAGTGAGGTCCCAGGTTCAAATCTGCCTGGTAGCAGTTGCATAGATGAAAAACTGTCAGAAAAAGGTGCACAAACTGTGGAGTGCAATTTGCATACCTTTTTCCGATAAAACTCCATAGTCTAGACATAGCCAAACTTTGTTCTCTTTAGGGCTCATATTCCCTAGATTCCTCAGCATTTTAAGAAGGCTTAAAGATCCATCATACCCAAATTATTTGTACCTGGAATGTGCATGGATTTACAAGTGTTTAATGGGTTACAGTGTTTGTTAAAAGAAGATGAAAATAAACGTTATGTTAATTTGTTATCTCTTTTAATTCCCTAGCTTCATTTCAGCTGAAACACCTGATAGCCTTGCATATCAATTATGTGCAGTCCAGGCATGTGAGAACAGAACCAACTTCAGATCAGTTTATGATTTATGTCACTGATGGGAAGCATCATTCAGTGGAGACCCCATTTTATGTCCTGATCAACCCAACGAATGATGAAGTCCCAGAATTCATAGCAAGAAACATAACTGTAAGGAAGGATACAAAATACTAGATATCTAATGACTTTTGTGCCAGAAAATATACAGCCAGTAGATCCTTTTAAATATACATATTATCATCTTCCTAAGACCTAATCCTCTTTATTTGGCCTGCACTATCATGATTCATCCCAGTGCAGGGAAACACAAGGTCTATTCATCACATAAATCTTCTGTCATCCCTTAAAATCTGGTGTTAATGTTGCACCGGCCTGGTGCTGGTGCTCTGCACTAGAGTGAAATTCACCATTTAACCACTTCAGTAGTGTTTTAACTACTTACCTGAGCAGACTTGATTTATGTATATTTCTGTACATTGTCTATGTATATTAATCAAATTGCTTGTATAGACATGTTTGTGTATATACATGCACAGATGTAGCTTCAGTACATTTCATGACTCCAAATCTCAACACACCCAGGGCTAAATGCCATTTTATTGGCAATTTGCACAGATCTTGGTATCTGAGGTAAAAGTAAGCTGGTACAGTCCGGTATGCTGTACTGTCAAGAAACTGTCTGGCAAGGTCCGGTACACTCCCCAGTACATCATATGGGAAAGGCACTGTACTGCTCCCAGCCCCTCCATGAAGTTGCCTCTCAGGAGAAAAGAGCTGGAGGGAAGGATCCTGGAATGATATGGCAGCCAGAAGAACTGCTGGTGTTCTGCTCCTTTCCCACATGCTCCTGCCCCTCCTAGCAGAGAAAGGAGCAGAACTCCCTGTCCCACCCCACAGCCCTGTCTGCTGCTGTATGGAGAGGAGACAAAGCTCCATGGAAGAGCATGGGGGAAAGGCTGGGGCTTCTGTTCCTTTCCCCAGATCAGGGAAAGCAGCAGTTCCCCAGAGCAGGGAAAGCAGCAGAACTGCTCCTCCAGCAGTTGTACTGGCCCCATTCTCCCCCCTCCCCTCAGGTAATGTGGGATGGGGAGAGAGGGAGAAAAGCATGAGGCCCCAAGCTGGGGTTGGGTTGAGGCCTCATGAAGATTTATGTGGGATAGTCATGTGGACCCCTTAGCTGGTGTGTGTCCCTCCCGCCCCTCCTCCCCCCATACTGGGAAGAAATTAATTTTACATTTACTCCTGCTCGATATCCTTTACAATACTCTGGTACAAGAAATTGTCAACTTTTCTTTTCACAACAAAAAAAGGCAAGGGGCAAATAATGTCACTATGGAAGCATAGATTGAAATCCTGGTCCCAGCTGCCTTTGAATTCAGTAGAGTCAGGATTTCATCTTCCATGAAGCCCATGGAATTTGGATGCAACTGGAGCGTACGCGATGTTTCACAAAACTGATTTTTTTCAAACTGTGTAGAACTGTCATGTAGGCTCTTCTTAATGTATGTAAGCACGGCCTCTAAAAATAGCATCTTCTCATTCATTCCTGGCTGGATTCTCAGCATGGCACAGGAGACAGAGGAGAACCAGGGAGCTGATTTCTTGTGTTTTATTGATCTGTAAGTGGCAATTCCGGCAAATACTTACTGCTGAGCATAACAACATTTACTACTGTGAATTGTCCCATTGACTTCATTTGGGCTGCCATAATAGTAAGCACTGTGCTGGAAAACAAATAAAAGCTCAAAGAATCAAATTTTTTAATAATAAAAGAATCTTCACTGAGGAACTGTAGGGTTGGGATTTTTCCCCTTTTGGTTTCACAGGAACCTCTGTGATTTGTGGGGGGAACAGGCTGCTCTATGTGAGGGATAAATATTCCATTTCTAATAAGTAAATAAATAAATAAATAAAGCTACTCTTTTTACAAACAAATCATGGTTCTTTTTGCTTTATTTTGTTTTTCTGCTCAGGTGCAGGAGGGCCACATACAAGAACTAGATTCCTCTGTAATCAACGTGATTGATCTGGATGTTCCTCAAGATCATCTGATGTTTACAATTATCCAGCAGCCCCGGCATGGATTCCTCATTAATGGAGTTTATGGCAATGACATAATGAGTTACAAACGATTCATTAGCAATCACCACAATCATGAGTTTCCTGTGCATGACTTCTCCATGAAGCTTCTTAAAAATGGTAAATGCAGTATTTCCTTTGTATCAGTCCTTCTGTACCATTAAAAATGTATCCTAAAGTGACATTGGAAGAAACATTTGCCACTTATTTATTCACCTGGCCTAGATGTAGTTTCATAGCAAACTTTAAGAATAGAAAACTAAATGTGAGCGGCTTTTTCTTAGTTCCAAATATTTTAATCAGAGGCCTGTATATGAAATGGGTATGGTATATAAAAAACAGCTTGTTCAATTAAGTGAAAATAAATCTGGATTTAACAGGTAGCTTTATGGAGCCCTGTTTTGTCTGGTGTTTTAAGTGCACTCGATAAATATTGCTCATTTAAATCCTTGCAGTCCTTTTGGCAATGTGTAAATGAGACTGGCATAAATATAAAAAATGACAAAAAATGATGTCAGATTCTTCTCTAAGAAAATATAATGTTATTTTTAAAACAATATTTTCTGTCCATGATAAAAACTTTATGGAAGTTGTATCTATTGCAGTGATAATGACAAATATGTACGGTCTATCCATTATGCTTATTTCTTCCTGGCTCTATTTCGAGAAGAAATAGTCCAACTCATTTAATTTTTTGTAATTACTTCTCCAGTGTTTGAGTATTCACAAGTGGGGTTTAAGTGTCATTCATTTGCACTATTGTGGCACCCAGAGGTGCAATGGAGATCAAGTCCTCATTGTGTTAGGCACTGAACAAACATGACAGTTCCCTATAGGACATATAGTCAAAGTGAATAAAACAGGTAAGATGGGAGAAAGGAAATACATTATCAGGCTTTTTTAGATTGGGAACTGAGGCACAGAGAGATTGAACAACTTGTCCAAGGTCACACAGAAAGTCTTGTATCCATTCTTTCAAACATAATGCCAGCCTTCCTTCCTAAAGTAAGCCCCCACCCCGCAAGGATCAGTTAAGGCACAGAAGAGTGTTTTCTGAGCATCTTATCGTCCAGGCAAGGGTGATATTTTGGGAGCATGTGGGGGGAGCATAAGCCCCTCATACTGGGACACTGCTTATTCTTCTTCCCCTCAGTATCAGGAAACAAGGGAAAAGTACACAGCATGACTCTCACCAACCTCCCACTCCACACTCCTGAAATGGCGCCCTTGCCACAGTCAAGTAGAAATTTTCAATTGGGAGGGAGGAAGGGATGGAAAAAAATATAACCTATTCATTCAGAGCAAAGATAATTTGGAAAGGAGTTTCATTCTTTTAACAGGTCATACTGCTCTCTTTTAGTTGCTGGTATACTGATGGATTAATGAACAGCTGCTGTTTACTTGGCTTCTCGTGTACTAGCTGAAATAAACGGGATGTGACCAGAAGCTATGGTGGGTTGGGGAGAGAAGGAGGATGATGAAGGCAGAGGGGACATGTCGTGAAATAGATTTTGAAGGAGACAGATTTTATTTTCTCTTTTCCCCTCCTCTCCAAAGGACTGAGGCTGGTGTACATGCATGATGACTCTGAAAACCTCACTGATGGTTTTACCCTCCAGCTGTCCGATGGGAAACATAAAGTCCTCAGAACCATTTTGGTAAAGGTCATCCCGGTTAATGATGAGAAACCAATGCTGAGCAAGTAAGCCACATGTTCCTATCCCCAATTGTGGAATGTGTTCAGATGAAATGATTCAACAGTGATCAACACAGCAAAATGGTGATTAATAGGGCTATTCTGCCATAAATAGCCACAGACTAATGCCAACAAAGATGTTTCTGCATGTTCCACCATAGGACTGTTCAACAAGAGCATTCCCAACAAAGGTCACAGTTGATAACAAGAAGTGCCTACATCACAAAGTTTGTTTTCATGTTTTTTATTTAGGATATGATATATATGTAGGGATGTATTCATTCAGACCTTAGTTAAAATATTTAAACACATCCGTAATCTTTGTACTCCCTCTGCTGGCCAACACATTCAGTGGGGTTGACTTTAGCGATCTCAAAGACTAATAGATTTATTTGGACATAAGCTTTCATGGGTAAAAACTACCTACAATAGCTTATGCCCCCAAAAATCTGTTAATCTTTAAGGTGCCACAGGAGTCCTCATTGTTATTGTAGATACAGACTAACACAGCTACCCCTTGGAAATTTCTCTCTCTATTTCTTCTGGCCAGTGGTGACATGTAGCTATTGTATACATCAACCAGCACTGTGAAAATAGCATAGGATTTGAGAACCATTGGACTCCCAGCCAGCTCCAGCACCCTCTGGTCCTGCCGGACCACTGATATGGCCGGACCAGAGAGTTCCAGACCAGAGAGATTCAACCTGTTCTAGAATTCCTTGCTAAACACAGAGGTATATATTACACTTCAGCTGGAGTGATGACCATAGCTTAGAATACAGAGTACAGTTTACATATTAATAAAATGAAATGAGATAATCATAATTACTGAGCACATATCCTTTGATATTTTTCTAGTTAGGATAAAGCTCAGTACATCATTCCCCACATTTTCTCTTTAGAGTGAGGTATAGAAGTGACTGCAGATAAGTGTGTTTCACCTTCTATGCCAAGATGAGTCCAGAAACTGTGTTGCTGCCTTGACAGGCAGTGATTAGATCTTATAATTGGTGATCCCCAGTTGGGGAATCTTGCTCACCCACTGATATGGGATCACCTTTCCTTCCCACGTTAGCCTTGTTCTCCAATAGCCTGCACATATTATGCAGCTGGCAGAGTAAGCAGTTTTGAAAAGAACAGACAGAATGTTCCTGATTTAGCAGACTCTGATTCACTATGAGTCGTGCACAATTAACTTTGCATCTTCTTCCATTTAGCTATATGGATCACCTTCCCTAAATGTAAATCCAATGGGTTTCTTTTCTACCCCAAAGCCCCTTCTAAAGACCCTTTACTCAGACACCGGAAACAATTAGCCAACTAATTCCACTAATGAGATGAAGAATTGGGGTCAGATGACAGTTAGCATTTTTAAAAACGTACCTATAATGGCTTTGTGTTTTTAACCCATCTTCTAATCCCTTTGCATGTTGCTTGTCTTCGTAGATGGTAGGCTTTTTGGGGCAGCGATTGTGTCTCACCTTATCTCTGGTTGGCATCTAGTACATAGTTTCACTTGTATAAAAGTAACTAACTATAGTAAAATTATATGATGGGAGAGCTAAGAAGCAGGTACTAGCTAAAGGGAAGGAAATGGAGGGAGAGAGAGACTGAGAATTAAATTGTAGTAAGTCTCTGGGGGAATTTTAAACCATTTTGGGACTTCCATCCTACCTGACTCGGGGGGGGGGGGGGGCCACCAAGAAGCAAACGGTGGTAAGCAAAACCTTACAGTGATTTGTTCCTAAAGGGCTAATGGAAAGTCTGATTAGGGAAGTAAAGGCAACCAGCAGAATGGGCCTCTGTTCCTCATGAAAGTTCTTTTTCAGAGCTTTGCCAGCCAATGATTAAACAGCCAGGCTACGTCTAACACTGGCATGATTCTGAGTTTTTTCATTAAAAGTATTTGCGCAAGAGAGCGTCTACACTGGCATGTGCTTTTGTGCAAAAGATGTGCTTTTGTGCAAAAGCATCCGTGCCAGTGTAGACGCTCTCTTGTGCAAGAAAGTCCAATGGCTATTTTCGCCATCCGGCTTTCTTGCGCAAGAAAGCCGGATGGCGAAAATAGCCATTGGACTTTCTTGCACAAGAGAGCGTCTACCCTGGCATGTGCTTTTGTGCAAAAGCATCCGTGCCAGTGTAGACGCGCTCTTGCGCAAATACTCGCGGCCAGTGTAGACAGGTGGCAAGATTTTGCACAAAAGCAGTCGCTTTTGCGCAAAATCTTGCCAATGTAGACACAGCCCCAATGAATTAAGTCACCGTCAGAGCCAATAGAGCACCTATTGATATGGTCTGTAATAGCAGTTTGGCCACCTTGTTCATGCTTCTCCTCTACGGCAATCCAAATAATTACTGTAGAGGGGGCAGACAAAATTGATACTTGTTAAATCCAAAATTGCTTCTGATCTGTTTTGTTTTTGTTGCTTTTCACTGTTGTTACAAGAAACCAGTCTTCTCTGCTTGTTGTTTTGCAGATAAATGTGTTCTTCTTTAGTCATTCCATCTGCAGTTATTATTCGTGTCAGCTTCTGAGTAATCCATTTCCTGGCAGTGCTATCACTTGTTAGAAAGATTACTTTTCTATTTTCACATCAATGCATGAGGTTTTTCTTTTTCTTTTTTCCCCCCAGGAAGGATGAGCTAGAGGTGAACATGGGTGAAACCAGAATAATTTCTAGTGCTGTTCTGTCAGCTGAAGATAAAGATACCCCTAGGGAGAGAATTTACTATTTATTTGAAAAAATTCCAGAATATGGGCAGCTTCAGCTCAAGGTTAGTCTTTGTGCTTAAAGAATAAACAAGCAAACAACTCTCTCTTGTTAAAACAAAAAGAAGCTGATTCTCCTTTATCCTGAATGCCTTCCGTGTTTTGGAATACAGTGCTACGGCTAGCTGACTTGTGTAGCTGAACCATGCAAGATACTAAATCAGAGGTTTTGATACTAGTGGTGGGAGTCTCAAGTCTGGTGAAGCAGAGGTTAAAACCATCTGAGGATCTTTACAGGATAATGGTAGAGATGGGAGGAATAGGAAAGAGAACAACTAGACGAAAGGGGATGAATGAACAACCCGAGAAACAGAGGATGGGGAGATATTTCAGAATCCTGGAAGAAAATGGAAGGAGACCTCACAAATGAGACTCTAACAATTGTTTAAGAGAGAACCTATCAATAGGGGGAGAAAGAGAAAAGGGAGGTCAGAAAATAAGTGTTTGAGAGAGAAAAAAGGAATAGAGGAAAAAATAGGATAAAAAAGCAAGGCAGAAATAACAATCTTTTCTTTTTCATGTATGTAGAAATTGGATATTGTATTCCAGGTAGCATGATTCTAGAAGACAAGTGGGACTTGGTTCTGAATGAGGGTGTTGAAAATGGGAGCCTAGTGCCCCAAACACCAGGGAGGGAAATAAACTGCTGTCCATGGTGTCCAATATTTGGCCAGCTATTTGGCCGATTGAGTGTGGCTAGTTGGCTTGAACAATGTGGCTAGTTGGCCAGTTGAGTGTGGCTAGTTTGCTGTGCTACTGCTTCAGAACGGAATATGAGTGTGTCTGAAGCCTGTGCTTGTTGGTATTTTAACATCGTTTGCTCCAGCAGCATGTAATGCTGGGACACAACTCCTGCTCAATACCACATAGTGTATTTGCTGTTAGATATCTTGAAATCTTCTGCAGTGCAGGATATTGCATCTGACATTTTAATTTTTTCCAGGGAAATCCCTACCTCTCTCTAATTCCCCACAGGCTCTTCACTTATGCCTGGCTGGCTTTGAGCCTGAGCAGAACTAGGAGTAATGGGATGAAATTAAGAAATGGAAAATGTAGGTTGAATATGAGGAAATACTTCCTAGCAGTGAGTTCTGTTAGGTTCTTAGCATGTGTTTTTCCTCCTGCTCCTATGGCTGCAAAACTCCTTCCAGCTAGTGTCCCTGAAACTTCCTATTAGGCAGGAGGTCCAAATTGTGAAAGGGGAATACAGGTAGGCTATTGTTGGCAATGGTGTAAATATCTGAACTATGTCTACTAACTGAGCAAAGTTAACTTAGGGGAACTTATGGGATAATGTGAGGTTGCTGACAGATTTTTATTCTTTCTAGGTTGGTGGGGAGTGGGTGACTCTCCAAACTGAAATGAAGTGCACCCAGGAGGAAATAGATATGAATCTTGTGAGATATGTGCATACAGGAGCTATGGGATCCAGGAACCAAGACAGCTTCACATTTCATCTGTGGGATGGGGACAACAGGTCCCCAGCACTGGACTTCCACATAACTATCAAGGATATAGAAAAGGGTAAAGATCTGGCTAATTTTGCATTCTACCATGCCTAATCCTTATACTAGGGCAATCTGAAAAAAATAGCCATTTATGATCCCTTCTTAGGCCTTAACCCTTTAATGAGCAGGGTCTAACTATCTTCAGCGGTCTAATTATCTACCGTAGTATCTGCCGGCAAAGAAGTCCTTGTGGGATTGGATCTATTAATTATTTTTGAAGAAGGCTTCCTAAGATTTCAAAAGGTTGTATACTCCGTTCATACTTTATCCTTCACCTCATGGGACAATAAAGTGGGTATTGTACATATTTTGTACATGGGTAAACCTATGCAAAGAAAAGTGGGAAGCAATTTCTTCAAAGCATGTAATGAGAACAGCAAAGCTGAGCGTATGGTTCAGGATTCCTGACTTCTCATGGAATTAGGCCTTACTTCCTTCACTGGATTTGTATTACAAAAGATGTTTCCTCTATTGTGGATTTATTCTTGATAAATGTGACACTACTTGAAAACATGAATACATCTACCTACATTATGTAGAATCCTATATATAGTAGCCCAATGTCTGTGACTCTAACACTGAAATGCTGGCTGTTGCCTCTGGGTGGCGTTGTTGCCTCAGTCACGTCCTTCGCCTCCCGCCGTGGCACTCAGCTGACTTCTGCGCCGCTCAGCCGGGCCACAGCGGGGAGCAAGTGGTGCAATCGGCTGTTTGGGTGCCACGGTTCCCATGCAGCACAGGCGCCATGGTGCCCAAATGGCCGATTGCACCACTTCTCCACCGTGGCGGACCAGTAGAGCGGCGCAGAAGTCTGCTGAGTGCCACGGTGGGAGGCGAAGGGGGGCGGGGCGGTGACATACAGCGTGACAGCGGCTCCAGGCCCCACCCCCTTGCCGTCATCACTCCGCCCCCCTTCGCGTCCCACTGTGGCGCTCCATTGACTTCTGTGCCACTCAGCTGGACCGCTTTGTGGGAGCAAGCAGCGGTTTGGGCTCTGCGCTCCCTATGCAGCATGGGGAGCGTGGAACCCAAACAGCCATTTGGACTCTGCAGTCCCCTGAGTGAGAGAGAAGGGGGAGAAGAGAAAGAGAGAGATGGAGAGAGAGGCAGGAGGCGGAGGAGAGGTGAGGTAAGGAGAGGCAGTAGGAGGAGGAGGAGGAGGAGAGAGACACGGATGTGGAGGAGAGACCCGAAAATCCCATCTTATGATGGGCTATTGGCTACTGTTATAATAATAGGCCAGAGAGAAATATAGATGACACTTTTACCTTGGTATCATGTATCTTGCAGGGGATATTGCTGTTTTCATAAGGCCACTTACTGTAACTAAGGGGGATAGAGGTTACTTGACAACTGATGTTCTCCTTGCAATTGATGGAACTGACAAACCAGAAGAGCTCCTCTATGTGATAACTTCTCCACCTCAGTATGGACAGCTGCAGTACGTCAGGTATCCTGGAGTCCCCATTGCAAGTTTCAGCCAAATGGATGTAGCAGGTCAAGCAGTCTGCTATGTCCACAGTAGCAAGGCAGCTGCTCCCCAAGATCTATTCAGGTAAGCTCTGAAGAATTCCTTCTTGCTTGTTACTTTTGCTAATAACAAAACTGATGGAAAGATGGTAGTGATGGTGCTGTAGCAAATAGCCAGTGTTTATATGACAAGAGGCATTGCTTCTATCTTGAATTTAGCCCTGACTTACACTATCTCAGGGGTGGCCAACCCACGCCTTGTGAGCCTCATAGCTTCCCCCATGGCTGCCCCACATGCCCCTACAATTGGCCCCCAGCCCCCTATGCTCACTGGGTGCAGGGGAACCATCCAACACAGAAAATGGCGCCGGCCAATGGGAGCCTGACATGGCCAAAAAGCCTGCCCATGGGGCAGTGTCCTTTTTTTTTTGCTCAACAATTTTGGTGCAGCTCTTCACATTTTTTCTGCTGCTGTTTCGGCTCTCTTTATTTAATGGGTTGGCCACCTCTGTGCTCTGTGATCACTACTCTTCCTTTAAAACATGAAATAGGAATATGGGCTATATTGGTTTGTCTATCATGGTTCAAATATTGTTAGAACATGCAAATAAACTAGGCCAACAGCAACCATGTGAGGAGAGTGGGCTTCAGTAATGTTCCTTGTGGCATTTCTCCTTAAACTATAATATTTTTCTTGTTATTTATGACACTGATTTTAGTATTAAATTTGTCAGTAGACAGGAGACAGAACTGGGATGCACATTCTTTCAATATTCACCTGAAATCCTTCAGTACCATATATTATTTCAACTACATGTTCTTTATATTCCGTCTTAAAAATCTATGGATTTTGCTGCATCATGTTACAATTTGTGACTCTGCAACACATATTTTTGTGGGGATTCTTTTCATTGTTGTTTAACATCAGTCTGCTGATAACTTGTCTAGGTGTTGCCCTACCATGGTTTTGATGGGATTTGTTATCTTCATTTTGGGAGTGCTTGCTTTTAACTCCAAGGTTGTCAATCTGCCTCTCACCCATCACTGAATACAATGAGCACGTTCAATAATTCCTTGGTGCCCCTGACTGTCTGGCCTCTCATCTGGCCCTCTGGATGCTGTGCTGGCCTTCATGCTAATCTCTTTTCAAATGCTCACGTTCTTCACTCACGCAAAGAAGAATTACATGGTTGCTTCACACAAACAAGGATTACATAATTGCTTTTGTAAACAAAAAAAGATCTAGTGCAAAATGTTCTAAAAAGTAAATACTACTATTACTACTATTCTCAAATTTAAAAAAGAGAGCAAGTAAAAGGGTGACCATAGTGAGTCCCAAGGACCCTTCTGGTCTGTTCTTGCCTTGACATCAGTAACAGACACAAACAGCCCGTTTGGATCCATCTTTTCCAATGGCACTAGTCCATTCCTTTCTGCAAGTCAGGGTACACCTAGGCACACTATTGCACAAGGGTACATTTTAGCTACATGGCTACAACTGAAGTATTGAGATCTTTGCTAATTTCCAAAGCATTGTGGTTGGTGTTCAGTGACACACAGTTTTCTAAGGCCCATGGAATTCCCAAAACTTCCCATTTCACTTTGCACAGAAGATCTTTTTGACTGTTGAAGGGAAGATTTAATTAAAGGGTAAATCTTTAGCAAAGCACCTAAACAAAAAGGCTGGCTTGATTGCTGGGGAGCTGTGTGGCATAAAAGAATTGCCTCTCCTCCCCTGTAGAGGGCACATGGTAGTAGAAGTTGTGGAGTGGCAAAGATATAAGAATCTGAACTAAAGTGGAGCCTCTCTCTCTGGAATTCCCATTTAGGGATGTAAGTGACTAATCGATTATCAATAAGCCAATGCTTATCGGATAGTCGACTAGTGACTTGACTAGTTGCTTCCCCCTGCCTTTGCTGGCTCTATCAGAGAGAGGCAGCAAGGTGGGGAGCAGGATCCAGTGCTGGGGGAGGGGGGAAGTTGGCTAAAAAGCCGGTTCCACCCCAGTACCATCTCCATGGGGTGAGGGAACTGGAGGCGCTTCTGCCTTTAAAATATAGCAAGAGCAGAGCTCTTGCTACATTTCAAAAGCAAAGCACTGTACTCCTGTCTTATGCACTCATCTTATAGAAATCCCATCTAAGTTGTATTTTCATTCTCTATTAGTAAGTAAAATAATAGCTTTTCAAAAATAATAGCTAATGGCTCAGATACTTCCTCAATCAGCTCCTTGAGTATTCTGGGATGCATATCATCAGGCCCTGGTGACTTGAAGACATCTAACTTTTCAAAGTAATTTTTAACTTATTTTAACTTCAGAACATACCCAATTTTCACTAGCACCTAGCACTATGTTAATATCCAGTCCAGGGCTGGCCTTACCATGAGATGAACTGATGCGGCCGCCTCAGGTGCCAGACTGTAGGGGGGCACCACTAGGACCCAGAGTGTAAAAAATTGTGTCTGCTGTTGGTGCATATATAGGTAGCGGAGCAGTACCATGAGAGGAGCAGGAAGAAGGCAGAATTGAGCACTTTCAAAGTTTTGGCCCAAGCGAGGGAGCATGAGGGCATCATTTCAGCTCCCCGCCTCAGGTGCCAAAATGTTGTGGGCCGGTCCTGTTCCTGTCACCACCAAACTTCTAGATGAAAACCAATAGAAAGATGTTAAGCTAACCCTAGCCCTCTCCCATTTCCACATTTTCTGTTATTGTTTCTGCCTCTTCATTGAGCAATGGGCCTACCCTGTCCTTTTTCTTCCTCTTGCTTGTAGAATGTCGTCTTATGCCTTCGCCTTTCTAATTTTGCCCTTATATATTTGTGTTATTTCCATCCTTTGTACTTTGACCTAGTTTCCATTTTTTTTATAGGACTCTTTTTTTATTTTTAGATCATTCAGGATCTCCTGGATGGTCTCTTGTCATACTTCCTATCTTTTCTATATAGTGGAATGGTATGCTTAATAATGTCCCTTTGCTCCCTGACCTTAATAAAGTCTGCCTTCTTGAAATCCATTGTCTTTATTTTGCTGTTCTCCCTTCTACCATTCCATAGAATCATGAACTCTATCATTTCATGATCACTTTCACCCAACCTGCCTTCCACTTCCAAATTCTCAACCAGTTCTTCCCAATTTGTTAAAATCAAATCTAGAAAAGCCTCTTCCCTAGTAGCTTTCTCCATCTTCCGAAGTAAAAAATTGTCTCCAATACATTCCAACAACTTGTTGGACAGTCTGTGCTCTGCTGTGTTATTTTCTGAACAGATTTTGGATAATTGAAGTCCCCCATAACCATCTAAAACCATTGAACTGAATTAATCGATAACATATCCCATTGATTCCCCCATTCCTCTTTTGTTTATTCTAGATGGAAGTCTGAAGCTTGGGCTATCCATCAGGGGTGTGTCTAGCCTGGCAAGATTTTGCGCAAAAGCAACTGCTTTTGCACAAAAACTTGCCAGCTGTCTACAATGGATGCTTGAATTTGCACAAGAGCACTGACTCTAATGTACAAAATCAGTGCTTCTTGCACAAATACTTTCACGCTCCCGCTCGGGAAAAAGCCCTCTTGTGCAAGAATACTTGCGCAAGAGGGCCAGTGTAGACAGAGAAGAACTGCTTTGCGCAAAAAAGCCCCGATGGCTAAAATGGCGATTGGGGCTTTTTTGCACAAAATCACGTCTAGACTGGCCACGGATGCTTTTGCTCAAAAGCACTTTTTTCACAAAAGCATCCGTGCCAATCTAGACGCTCTTTTGCGGAAATACTTTTAACAGAAACACTTTTCCGTTAAAAGTATTTCCGCAAAATCATGCCAGGCTAGACGTAGCCCAGCTGTTTTTCTATGGCTTTAAGGTTGGTTGTTCAATACTTGAGATCTCTCTGCCTGAGGTATTAACATATCTTGATTATCTCTCTGGTTTCAAAACCAATTTTAATAAATAAATATACTAATAAGGTAGCCAGATTACATTCTTTGACACAGCTCTCTTTTGAATAATCATAAATTAATTTAAATACCTTGGTGCCTATCAATTTGAATCCTCATATTAGTGTAATGTCTTCCTGATGATTTGCTTCCATGAACCAATGTAATAATAACAACACAGGTAGGTAGGCTCAAACTTGGCAAATTGTAAATTTGCCATTTTCTGTCTCATATTCCAGTACCTTAATAACAGATCTTTAGCTGATGTACACAGGAACATCATACATCATTTATTCTTTCCCAGTTCTTTGTCTTCCTAAGAAACAAGAAGGTCTCGCTCTGCCTAATATGAAAACTGGCTTTTGGTGACAGAAAGTGAGAGCAAACTCACCACAATGCAACTTGTGTTGGGAATCTTCTTTTTTTTATCAGAAAGAACATAAGAATGGCCATACTGGGTCAGACCAATGGTCCATCCAACCCAGTATTCTGTCTGCTGACAGTTGTCAATGCCAGGTGTCCCAGAGGTACTGATCAAGCAATTTCTCTCCTGATATCCATCTCCACCCTTCTGACAAACAGAGGCTAGGGACACCATTCCCTTAATGGACTTAACCTCCATGATTTATCTAGTTCTCTTTTAAACCCTGTTATAGTCCTAACCTTCACAACCACCTCAGGCAAGGAGTTCCACAGGTTGATTGTGCGCTGTGTGAAGAAGAACTTCCTTTTATTTGTTTTATCAACAAATGACTTTGTTATATGACGGAAGAACTTAAAAAACAACGAATAGGCCTGCAGCACCTTAGAAAAATACTGTTTGTGACCATGGGTGGCAGATCATGTAGGCGAAGGAAGGCACAGCCTTCCCAAAACTGCCTATGTGCCCGACCGCTGGGGAAGGCTGAGACCATGGCGCTGCGGCTCAGCTTTCCCAGACACCGGAAAGGCTGGGGCTGGGGTGCGGCAGCCCAGCTTCCCCAGCCACCAAGGAGAGCTGCCCCGGAACTCCAGGTGGCCAGGAAGGAATGGGCTGGAGGTGGGAGGAACTTGGCTCCAAGGGTAGGCTTCATGCAGAAGGCGTAGACCAGGGGCTTACCTTCCCCAGCTAGGCCTTCACCTGACACCAATGTCTGTGACCGTCAATAATGTATTCCCTCATGTACATAGACTGTGCCTTTCCTTCTTGTGCTGTGCATCTCATTTCAGTACAATACGCTTATTAAGTCTTCAGTAACATTAATTCTCCCACAGGATTTTTGAATACTATAATGATTCTTTGACATGCTGATGAGCATTAATCTATTCTAGTTCCGCAAGAGGAGGAAATGAAGAAATACAACAGAATTTGTAGACAAAAGTTTGTCACCTTTAAAGCCCGGTTGGCAGTCTAGTGTCAATCAAATGCTCTGTCACATGCCCAAGTTCTGGGTTCAGATCCTGAGCCAGCTGCACAGGCCACATAGACTGAAGGCAAAGTGTCTGGAAGAACAAAGTTCCCGATGGTGTTCATAATTTATCCCCATGGGCCATAGAAAAGAAGGGTGTAACTAGAGGGAGATTCTCTACTGCACACAGCCTCTTTTTTTTTTGGGGGGGGGGGGGGAGGAGGGTGTAAGGATTGTCCATAAAAATATTTCATTTATTAGTTTTTGTTTTGCACAGAAAATGGGATGTCCATAATATTCACATTTTCTATGGGAAATTTTCTATTTTTCCAACATTTATGGATTTTCCTTTGGGCAAAGTCAAATTAAGTATTGGGTTACCCTGATCAAAATACTGTAGTTTGTTGAACCAAACAGAAACATTTAGTTTTGGGTCAGTTCTATATTAATTTGCCTGAGCTGCCATGGTGCCTCGTGGGAGTTGTAGTTTAGATGCCTCCATGTCTCCAGTCTCCTGTAAGGGCTATGCTCTCAGATTGGACTACATCACCCATGAATCCTTACATTCCCTTGTATGGTAAAAGTTTCATGAGGCATTTCAACAGTTTTATGATTGCAGTATTTCTTGGGAGATGTAGTCCAATCATAGAAGAGAAGTCCTATGTGACTTTGTGGCAGACATAGTTCAACAGTGAACCTAGTTGAAATGAAATGTTTAGACATTTCTGAATCAATATGTTCAGTTCAGAATATGAACTTTTCATTCTACAAATAAATTGATATTGTGACCTTTTGTCCCCATTTGAAAAAAAAATCAAACATTGAAATATTTGAATTTCCTATGAAGTGGAAAGTCTGATTTTCAACAAGCTCTAGCTGTGCTTATTTCTGTAACAGAGAACACAAGTGAGTGAGTATTTGTTAACTTCCTTGGCTTTGTGATAGCCATGAAGCAATATGGTATTGTATAGATCAAACTTGCACAGTTTAAATTAAATCACTTCAAATCTTTGTGGGGGTGTGATTATTTTAGTTTGAGTGACTTTTCAGTTTAGCTCAAACCAGTTCTTAATTACTTTAAGATTATCTGAAATAGATCCAGTTTAAATTAAAGTAAGTGTCCACACACCCTTTTGCATTTGCTTGACTAAATCAGTTTTAAATGACCTCTTCAGCTAAACTGATGCAACTCTGCATGTAGACAAGCTCTTCATTTTCTGTCTGGATCAGTGGAGAAGAACCAAATTAGAAAGGCTGGCTTAATAAAAGTAAGACTGTGGTATTTTAATAAATATGTCAGTATGAATCACTATAATTTATGTGCCTTTCTGTTATAATTTGGCAAAGAATTTGGTTGTGTTTAGGGATATAAATACAGTAACAGATTATTTTCTTTTTGAACTAGGAATGGTAACATTAATTATATGAGGTTGGGGGAGTTAAATGATCAGATTTTTACCTTCCACTGAAGTACTTTCTTCAGTAATAAATTTTCTTGCATTGTTTGGTGCTGCTGGCCTGGAAGAAAGATTTGGCAATGCTTGTTTGGACAGATGACTTCAAATGATTAGCAACCTGACATCAGATGCTGGCAGCAGGACGCTAAAAGAACATGCTAATGTCCTCCATTTTGACACGCTGGCTTGCTTTTGTAATGAGCTGGCTCTATTTATGATTCCATTTTTATCTTTTAAATGCCATGACAGATGGCAGGTTCTGCAGCCAACTCTATTGCCATGGAACTGCAGAAAGCATAAAACTTTGGTAATGGTGAAATCAAACCATGCGACGTGTCCTTCTAACTAAACCTGAGAGTTCTGCCCCAAATTTCATCAGAGTGATGAGAAATTTGGCTGCTTTTCATTCCTTGGGGAAAAAGAGTCGCAGTAAATCTGAAATAAAAAAGACTGAAGTGTAGAAAGAGGAAAGTAGAGGAATAGGAACTTCTTGGACACAGCCTCTTCATTATTTGCTAGATCAAGTTACATCTACTTTGTCATTTTCAGCCTTATTTATGTATCTAAGATAGTCACAGAATCTGTCTAGTGACCTGTAGAAGAGTCTGGATTAATTTTTTGTACACATGAACTGTTCTTCCTAACTCTTTTTATTAAATATTGGTTTCAGAGATTTCTCAGACAACCATCCAAGGAGATCTCCAAAAAGGTGGCTTTGTCAATTTGCACTTTTCCTCTTTCTATAAAGCCAAAAATAATCTTTCATGACCATGAAAACTCTTTTGTGCCTGTTATTTAGTATTATTATTTCAGCGGTATATTGGTCGAGCTAGATTATCAGTAGTACACCCCCTTTATCACTGGCACAGTAACTTCAGGTCAGTACAGACAGCTGCCACTATGTTCCCTGCTGGGAATACTGCCCTTAGTAAACATACTTCTTCTAACTCCTATATAGTCTCTGGCCTGCCTATATTCATTCCCATCTGTCTCATGGCATAATGCCTGCTTACAAGTTGGTCAGACCCTAATCATCGGGCATTGGCACAGGCAGTGAAGGGTTTTAGTTGGACAGCCTGTGTAATTCTGCAAGTCATTTCCATGATGAAGGTCACTTATAAACAAGGTAAACCACTGCAATCTTAGTTCTGAGCATTTGGTTCTTTTAATACCTCTCTGAGTTCAATTTGCAAGATTCTCAACCTCCAGATCAAGGTGAAACAAATTATCAAGTTGTCGACTATCTTTTACTTGGTTTATGTAAAATGGCAGTCCAGTGCTGAGAGGAAAAAGCAGCTAACTGGGAATGCATCTGTAGTTATGCTTGAAATATCAGTTGCACTTTCCCATGTTAATTTACAGTGCTGAGCCTGATGATGCATGCACACAAAGTGCAGTATATTTTGGGAGGTAGGTTGGGGGTAGAGGAAATATATCAGCACAGAAAACAGCTTATTGAAAAGCAAATCTTTCCACTTAGTGCATCCACACTGTGGGCTAAAGTTGAATTACGATACGCAACTTCAGGTACATTAATTGCTTAGCTGAAGTCAAGTAGCTTAACTCAGCTTTAAGTGCTGTCTACACAAGCAGGAAGCTGAAAGAAGAACACTCTTCCTTCAACTTCCCTTACTCCTCATGAAATGAGGGTTACAGAAGGCTAGGTCTAGACTACACTCTTTTATCAGAAAAAGCTACGTAAATTGTGCTCAGCAATTTGCATAGCTTTTTTCTGATTGTTTTTCCAGAAGAGGCTTTTTCATCATTTGGTCCCAGGACCAAATGGAGGGAAAGCCTCCTCTTTCGGAGGAGCCCTTATTCCTCGTAGAATGAGGCACACAGGGCTCCCTGAAAGAGTGCATTTGCTCTTCCGCAAAAAAAAAAGAAGAGCAAATGTGTTCCCTAGATGCGACGTATCCCGGAAAACCCCGCCAGTCTAGATGTACCCTGAAAAGCCTGTTATTTCAAAATTACAGGCTTGCTGTGTAGACACACCCTCCGTTATTTAGCTGAAGTCAAGTAGCTTAACTCAGCTTTAAGTGCTGTCTACACAAGCAGGAAGCTGAAAGAAGAACACTCTTCCTTCAACTTCCCTTACTCCTCATGAAATGAGGGTTACAGAAGGCTAGGTCTAGACTACACTCTTTTATCAGAAAAAGCTACGTAAATTGTGCTCAGCAATTTGCATAGCTTTTTTCTGATTGTTTTTCCAGAAGAGGCTTTTTCATCATTTGGTCCCAGGACCAAATGGAGGGAAAGCCTCCTCTTTCGGAGGAGCCCTTATTCCTCGTAGAATGAGGCACACAGGGCTCCCTGAAAGAGTGCATTTGCTCTTCCGCAAAAAAAAAAGAAGAGCAAATGTGTTCCCTAGATGCGACGTATCCCGGAAAACCCCGCCAGTCTAGATGTACCCTGAAAAGCCTGTTATTTCAAAATTACAGGCTTGCTGTGTAGACACACCCTCCGTTATTCTGAAATAATGTGAGTTATTTCAAACGTCAGGCTCATAGCATAGTCATTAGTACACATTTCCATCCTTTGGGATTTAAACTCAGGATCCTTGAGTAAGAGCCTTACACTGAACTATACAGCCACTCAAGAGCTGAGCTATTTCATTAGGGGGGAAGGCCTTTGCCAATTAGGTAATGAGAAAAATAATTAAACAAAGTCTTTGGCAAGTGAGGTCCTTTCATGAGCATTGTGCATGGTTCATGAACCAAAAAACAGCAGAAACAACTTTTAAAAAAGCAGTGAGTAGCCCTGTGGCACCTTTTCAGCAGCCACACATCACGGGACTACTTTTTTGTTAAAGTTGCTTTTAAAGTTACAGACAAACATGGCTACCCCTCTGAGACTGAAAAACTGCAAGATAGATATACCCTAAGTTGTGTGACTAACTTCCCTTTGGTCTAGGCTTGAATTAAAAGAAAGGCAGATACTGTCGGAGGTGCAGTTTTTGATGTGTGTTTCAGAGTCAATGCAAGGCAAATCCTTTAGTAAAGGTGTGTATTATCATTTCATTTCAGTAGATGGTGAATCAAGAACACATGTTGAAGGCTGCCTTGCCTCTCTTTGCCAGATTTATCATCAGCAATGGACTGAAGACTAAACATGGAACGTTCGAGATCATGCTGGAAACAGTGGACCAAGCTTTGCCCATAGTGTCTAGGAACAAGGGGTTAAGATTAGTGGAAGGCACTATGGCACTCCTTTCTCCTGATGTCCTGCAGCTTTCAGACCCAGACACTTCCTCAAAGAACCTTACTTTCCTCTTGGCACAGCTCCCTCAATATGGCCATCTGTACCACCGAGGGGCAGTGCTGCTGCAGCACAATTTTACCCAGCAAGATGTGGACAACATGGACATTGCATATAAACACGGAGGAGGGGATTCCCAGATTGACAGGTTTACATTTGTTGCAACAGACAGGACTAATGCAGGCTTCCTTGTAGATGGGAAGGTGCAAATGGAGCCTGTGGCATTCATCATTCAGGTAAGTATGGCCAATCGGCCTGTTTTAAAAAGATGAGTAAAATTAGATTAACAAATATAAAAATATTGGCTCCAATGGGCTTAGTGCTAGAGCTTCCTTGCTGTTCTGCTTCAGGGACTCAGCAATGGTAGGGATGGCCTCACAGGATAATTAACCAACGGAACTCATTGCTACAGGGTATCACTGCAGCAAATAGTTCAAAATGGATTAGACAAAAGAATAGGAAAATATACCATCTCTGTTACACAAAGGTGAGATGAATATTACAAGGCTTTTCAATCTTCAAGTATTAAGGCCTGTCAGGGGTGACAGCCCTCAGAGGCCCTTCAACCTTATTCTCTTTATTGAGTGACCTAACAGCCCCCAAGTCTATTTACAGAACAGCCACATGGACTCAATCACTATAGGCCCCTGTATTCAGGGTATTCGAGCCCAGTGGCCTCAGTCAATATGTCCACCCATGTATTTGGGGTATTACAGCCCAGGGGCTTCAGCAACATAAAAGCCCCGTCTTCAGGATATTACAGCCTGGCAGTCTCAGTATATATACATGTCCCTATATGCAAAGTATTACGACCCCATAGCCTCCGTTGATATACATGCCCCTATATGCAGGGTCTTACAGCCCAGCGGCCTCAATCAATATGTCCGCCACCTAAAGTCAGGGTATTATGGCCCAGTGGCCTCAGTCAATATGCACAGGTAAAGCTCCCACCCCATGCATAGGTAAATGAGGAGGAGGTAGGGGGACCCAAGCCCTCCCTCTCCACTGGATCTCAGCTCAGGGCCCTGTTGGCAATGGCACAGTCCACTGCTCACTTAGCAAGGAAACCTGCTGCAACACACTGAGCACTCAGGGAGCAAGTCCCTGCCCTAGGCTACTTCCTACCAGATCCTGGCAGACGTCCTCTCCGTACTCTCACTTAAGTCCTGCAGCTTCTCTTGTAGCACCTCTCGGCCTGGCTGCCACTGCTTGGTCTAGCTGCATTTCCTCCCCTGAAGATCCCTCGGGTCTCTTTTCCCTTCAGCAGTCAGCCCAGACTGAGCTGCTCCAGCAGCCTTTATAGTTAGTCTCCAGTTGAAGCAGAGCTGTGGGGGAGGGGCCTTCTCAACCAGCAGGGCCAAGGTAACTCCACCAGCTGCAGTGTGGGGTTGATACACCTCATCACAAGGCCCCAAAGTTAATGCCAGCTGCAATGAGGATGAAAACCTGTATTTTCCTCCCAAAGGTATATTGCACAATAAGTTGCACTTGATATGGCTGGGTGTTGTTGGGCATACGAAAGCATCTGTCATGAGCCACATCCAGGAGAAAATACTCAACTAGATAGCCTATTGCAGTTCTGTGAGGGAAAGTATGTTTTACAACTCTTACAAGAATCTATTTAAACTTTAACCCTGCCCTAGTGCTGAACCAGAATCCTTTCATACTATTCTGCTCCATTACAGAGTCCTCTCTCCTTACCAGTATCAGGCTATGTCTAAACTGGGAAGGTTTAGTGACAAAAGTGCTGTCAACATACAAAAGTGGCCAAAAGTGAAAACCAGTCAAACCATTTTTTCTGCCTCCCAAAAAACCAGTCAAACCATATTTTCTGCCTCCCATTGTCAACATTTCATTGCCACATTGCTAGCACCCTATTGACAAATAGAGCTAAGCAATGTGGGTAAGCAGTGCAGTGTTGTAGGAAGGCAGAGCTGATACCTGTGCTCCTTTCTATTCCCTCTTAGTTGCTCTGTGAGTTTTCCGTGCTGTGGCATGCCAAAGTAGCATAGCAGTTTCTCCAGCCTTTCTTCTGTAGCAGCAGTGTGCCTGCCACTGTGTTCCAAGTGCAGGTCAGAACAGAAGTAATCCAATGATTTGCTCTTTGTTCCCCAAACAGAGCAGCTCATTCAGCTGTCAGATACTTCTGAGAGCTTTGAGAGGGGAGGGTGCATGCCTGCCGGGCACCAGATATCACAAAACACTGAGTACAGCCATCAGGCTCAGCATTGCAGGATATTGACAGAAGCCAGCTCTCTCAACAAAACAAACAACAGAGTCTACATTGACTTTTTGTCATCAATAAGGGGAGGGAAAAAGACAAAAGTCTCTCACAGGGCTGGGGGGAGGGAAAAAGACAAAAGACTCTCACAGGGCTGGATGTTTTTTGTCACCAAAACTAGGGGTTTTTTCCAACAAAAGCAGCATTGCACTGTAAACATGATCTCTCTTTTGTCAACAAAAGGCAGTTTTTGGCGACAAAACGTGCTATTGTAGATAAAACCTCAATGCTTGCAATCTGTATTTTCATCCTTTCCTTGCCATTAATTCCAGATTCCTATCATTTGCCTACCATTAGCCTAACCCAGTTCCTCTTTTCCATACTATGATTGTTCCTTTGGTCTACGATTTCTCTCATCTTGAAGAGTTCTCATCTATGTCAGCAATAGGCCTACGTGTGTCTGTTTTCTTGTATTATTAAGTTCTTGTATTATTTGGCATGTTTTAGCATCAAGTGACTCAGACTGCTTTGTATAGCAAAACATGAGACATAGTAAAGTACAGATTTAGCAAAGAGGCTTCTGAGTCTCATACTGCCTGTTCACAAGAACGCTTGAAGATGGATGGGGATGCAGAAAATAGTTTTGTGGGAAGATAATGGGATGTAGATGGAGCAGGAAACACAGTGGGAATTTGACGGAAGGAATGCCTGACAGCATATGTTTAGGGATGGTGAGGCAAAGGTAGCTCAGGATAGGAAAGGATATATTGACCAGGTCAGTGGGAGAGATTACCGAAACCTTGATTCAGATGCCAGTTGGTACCTGTGTACTCCATAAAATGCAGGGTAATGTCTGGTTCTGTGAAACAAATGCACATTTGTTGTTTTTAATCCTGATTCAGGTGGACCATTTGGACAAAACTGCACCAAAAATTGTTCATCTCCGTTGTGCTTCAGATGTAGAGCTCCTAAAAAATGGCAAACATGGGATTTACATTACTGCCAGGTCCTTGAAGGCATATGACCCTGATACAGAAGAGGATGAAGTTATTTTTAAGATTTTACGAGGCCCTCGTTATGGCTACCTGGAAAATATAACAACAGGTATTGTTCTCTAACCTCTTCATATGATGCTCTAAAACAGTCGTCACCAACCCAGTGATCATGATCAACTGGTAGATCTGGAGCCTCTGCCAGTCGATCGCAAACCTCAGGTATGCTGTGTCTGCCCTCCTGGCCCTGCACTGCTCCCTGAAGCAGCCCGTTGACTGAATGCAAGCGTTCTTTGCAGCCCCTTCTGCAGTGTCTGGGAGGGGGGTAGTGAGGTAGGTCTGTGCTGTTTCCACCTCCAGCAGCATCCAAGCAGCTTCCATTAGTTCAGAACTGGCCAATGGGGCAGCACTTGATGTTGCCAGGCAGCAATGCAGCACATGAAGGCTCCCTTCCCTCTTCTCCTCTCTCCAGGGGCCACGTACAAAGAGTGCCTGCGCTCAGCCAGACAGTGTTTCCAGGAGCAGTATGGGGCCGGGCAGAGCAGTTTGCCTGAGCCCCACTGTGCTGCTCACTGGGAGCTGCCTGTGATTAGCGCTCCCCAGCTGCAGCCTGCGTCCTTGCCCTGTGTGCCAGCCCTGAGCTGGCACCTAACATCCCTCCCAGAGCCTGTACCCCCTTCTGCACCCCAACAATCTGTCCCATCTTGGAGGCCCCTCCTACATCCAAACTGTCTCCCAGAGTATTGGGGTGCAGGAGGGAGCGAGGGGTGCAGGATGAGGCTTCAAGCTGCGGCAAACTCCCTCTCAGAGCTTGCACTCCACACTCCTACACCATATCCATAGCCTGGAGCCTCCTCCTGCACACTCCCTCCCAGAACCTGCACCTTTCATCCTCTCTCACACCTCAGTCAGATGAAAGTGAGTCAGGGAAGGGAACAGCAAGCAAGTCGGGGAGAAGGAGGGATGGAGAAGGCAGGGCCTCAGGGAAAGGGGTGGAGTAAATTCTGGGTTGTCCTGAAATTCAAAATGAGATCTGCAGCGTAAAAAGGTTTTAAAACATCTTGTGATACACTGAGGCAGATTTCAAACCCTGTGCCCCTATCTATATAGAGAATCTCTTAGCTGTGCTAGAACAAACTGAATTATGATTCTGGGCTTCTTTGAGAGGCTCAAGTATGATAAGAAGGTTCCAATACTAGTATCCAGATATAAATTGATGAATTCTTAAACACCTTGGTCACCTATTTCATAGCTACTACTTAAGACCTGCTTTTTGCAAATGAAGCTTGAAACATCAGAGTAGAAAGGGACAAAGCCCTGAGGAATCACAGACATGTTATAAGCTTAATGGCAGATAAAACAATGATAAATATTGAACAAAGGAAGCTAATCTGTACCCAGGTAATTTGATGTGATGTCACCTGCGAGCTGGCTAATTGCCAGACATTTTTAGTAAATAGTGCAGTGGCCCTGCTGGGAGAGGAGTTTTCTGGAAGATCTAGGAACTACATTGCAGAATTCTAAGAGTTAATAAAGAGACAGTTCTATAATAATCAATTCAAACCATGTGGCTTTTGCTAACCCTTGTTTCACTGGATTTTGATTGATCTCAACATTTTCCCTCTTTCCCAGGTGGATTTATTCAGGAAGGATTCAGCCAAAAGGATTTAAATAGCAAAATCATATTTTATGTCATCAATCCATCCTGCGGGGTGAATTCGGACAGTTTGGATTTTCAAGTCACAGATCCCACCAGAAACTCTGCGGCCCCCCAAACGTAACTTAGATTTTCTATTCTAAACAGTTCAATACATTGTGCATGACTTGTACACTGGACTTCTTTCTGCCTCAGGTCAAACAAGCTATTGGTGGGTGTGAAGCTGACTTAAAAAACAATGTGGATACATTTTCTCAGATTGAAATTGCATCATTTTTTCAGGAAACTCTGAATAAAAGAGTAAAGAGATTTTCCTTATGAATGACCATGAAAGAATGAGGAAGCTGTTGTCTCCTTAGAATGAAGAAATATAAAAGACCAGTTTTTGATCAAATTCCACATTTCTCACAGTACATGACCGTGCAAGTGTGCACACACGCACATACAGATGGCCCCTTTAAGAGAAATATAAAGGGCCCTTAATGTAAATAAGGTCCATACACTTAAATACTGCCTTGGACAGCGTTGTCCGATTTATATACATCCTCTGGCAGCTAGAGGTCATTCTAAGCCTGTGCTGAGAGCAATGGCCTTTCCAAAGCAACAAAAAGAAAACATCAGGTAATAAAAACTGTAGGAGCTATGTTCTGCATAATACGTCGAAGGAAAAAATATAGGAACCTTCTGCCTCCCACTCGTGTGCTGCTAACATTTAACAGGCACCCACTGACGTTTCATCTTAGCCTGTGATAAACCCCATGAATCCAGTGTGTGTAAAATAGTTGATATGAGACTGGGGAATCAATAATTTAATGTAAAATATTATCTGATAAGAATAACCAATGAAGGAGACAGCATCGCTTTGGAAGTAAAATAAGCTAACGAATCAAGACTATTTTATTTCAGAATAAGCATGTCCATGCAGGGATTTAATGCCATTTTAAGTAATTTAGTTTACATTAATGCTTTTAGTTAATTCAGATTAACTTTGTGTGTTCCAGACAAAGCCTTATTGAACAAAATTGTATTTGGCTGGAAACAAGATTGACTATGTTTTCAAGCAACTTGTTTAATCTGAAGCGAGTAAAAAAGATGGCAAAGGATGTTTTACATGTGGTGTTTACAAATCAGACCCGATGGAGGAGAGAAAGGAGAAATGGTTGATTTCACAAGAGCTTTGGGTACATCTACACAGCAACATTATTTCAAATTAACTTAGGCGGTGTCTACACAGCAGGCAGTTATTTCAAAATACTGTCAAGCTGGAGGACTTCTTACTCCAACTCCTGTATCCCTCCCTTGTATGAGGAGTAAGGGAAGTTGGAGGAAGAGTGCTCTATTTCAAACTAAGTGCTGTGTAGACCCTCCCAATTTCAAAATAAACTACGCAATTGACATAGCTCAATTTGTGTAGCTTATTTCGAGTTAAGCCCTGTTGTGTAGACACATCCTATGTGAGCACTGATTCATCATGAGATAGTGAAAGGAGGTCTCAATAGTTGGGATTGAAGTTACTGCAGTACCAGACCATGTCAATAGATGTCTCTGTAGACAACCTCATAGGAATATGGCTAATCTAAGCACTTTATTATAGCACTTTACAGTCTCAGAGACCAATTATTGTACATATTTTCCACTAAGTATTTAAAGACCTCTTACCCAATTTTGGTGCAGTCAGTTCTGGAGTTGCATTGTATGTCAGCACCAATGCACAAAATATTTTAAGAAGAAAGCTCAAAAATAACAGCTTCTCATATTAAAAATCCAGGGGGGAATTCTAGAGAGGCAGAATGAAGGTACAGTAATTAATGGAACTGGAGTTTGGTCTTGGCTTCAGGTGTTTGTGTTTTAAATTAAAAATGATAGCACACTCAAAAAATAGTGGTGACTTGAAAGTATGTATCATTTCAATGAAAGCACAAACATTTATTTGAATGATGCTGAATTACAATGTGTTCAGACTTTGAACATTTCCTGATATGTAGATATACTGAGGGTGAATATTCTTATTCTTAAGTGCTATACTGTGTGCTTTACAATGCCAGGTAACTCTCAGCATGCAACACAAGCCTCCGCTACATTGGAGGTTTCCTGGCATAGCTGTAGAAGAATATTCTGCTGTATTTGTTCTTGTACATTTTAGCTATTTCAAAATACCTCCCATGTATGGACACTGAATTTTGTAATAAAAGTGATTTTTATTCTGGATAAAATAAAATCGTCTTTATTTTGGAACTGAATGTTCCCATGGGGGAGTTATTCTAGAATAGCTATGTCAGTATAGCATTTGTGCTAAGGCTATACCAGTCAGTTTCCCCATGTAGACAAGCCCTGAGGGTATGTCTACACTACAAAGTTAGTTCGAACTAGCTAGTTCGAACTAGGCGTTAGTCCTCGTAAAATGAGGTTTACCTAGTTCGAACTAAGCGCTCCGTTAGTTCGAATTAAGTTCGAACTAACGGAGCGCTTAGTTCGAACTAGCTAGTTCGAACTAGGCGTTAGTCCTCGTAAAATGAGGTTTACCTAGTTCGAACTAAGCGCTCCGTTAGTTCGAATTAAGTTCGAACTAACGGAGCGCTTAGTTCGAACTAGCTAGTTCGAACTAGGCGTTAGTCCTCGTAAAATGAGGTTTACCTAGTTCGAACTAAGCGCTCCGTTAGTTCGAATTAAGTTCGAACTAACGGAGCGCTTAGTTCGAACTAGCTAGTTCGAACTAGGCGTTAGTCCTCGTAAAATGAGGTTTACCTAGTTCGAACTAAGCGCTCCGTTAGTTCGAATTAAGTTCGAACTAACGGAGCGCTTAGTTCGAACTAGCTAGTTCGAACTAGGCGTTAGTCCTCGTAAAATGAGGTTTACCTAGTTCGAACTAAGCGCTCCGTTAGTTCGAATTAAGTTCGAACTAACGGAGCGCTTAGTTCGAACTAGCTAGTTCGAACTAGGCGTTAGTCCTCGTAAAATGAGGTTTACCTAGTTCGAACTAAGCGCTCCGTTAGTTCGAATTAAGTTCGAACTAACGGAGCGCTTAGTTCGAACTAGCGCTGTAGTGTAGACGTACCCTAAGAGACAAGATTGATACTCAGGAAATCACATCAGATAAACTAAGATGTAAAAACATTGTCAAGGAGGAGTTCAATACAGGACTGATGGATAAGTGACATCAAGTTTTAAGGCACTCACCAATGCAACCAGGAGGGTCTCAGTGCTCCCCAGAAATACGCAAACATCTCATTGTTCTTCTTTATGGCATACATTTACAATATCAATTTTTATCCTTTAGGCCTCTGATATAGAATCATTTCCAGCAGCCCCTGCATTAACATTACATCCAGTATATAGATGTTACATACGTTACAGACTTTCAAATTGGTTCTGAAGGGGTTTGTTTTCCCATTAGTATCCAAGGTTTTGTGTGTGTCTCTGAGGATACGTCTACACAGCAGCATTATTTTGGAGTAACTGATGTTGTGCCGAAATAACATAGTGCACGTCTATACTACAAGCTTTTATTTCGAACTAATGTTGAGAGGGAAGACTTCTTACTCTGACTCTTAGTAACCCTCATTTCACAAAGAGTAAGGGAAGTTGAAAGAAGAGTGTTCTTTCTTCAATTTCCTGCTGTGTAGACAGCACCAGAAGCTGAATTAAGCAATTTTGATTTAAGGTACGGAATTGACATAGCTGAAGTTGCATAGCTTAATTCGATTTTAGCCCTGCTGTATAGATGTATCCTGTATGTGTGAGGGGGTAATATCCAATAATTCTAGCCATGGTCATACTCCAAAAGTTTGGAAGCTTTCTAGATAATGATTTAAAGTGGCATAGCTGAGGCATTCTCTCATTTCATCTCTGACTCTCCACCCACCCTCTTTTTTATCTTCAACCTTTTGAGGGGGCTTATCCCATGTTTTTCTCCATCACCATTCCCAGCTTGTGACTCTATAGTAAGTTCATCCCAATTCCCTCTTAACTGATTCTAGGGGGAGTTTTATACACGATTTTAATTTAGCAGTCTTTGGTGGCTGGTTTGAAAGACAGGCACTGTTACCTGTGGGAGTAGGGGGATCACAGGAATGGGGTATGTTGAGTAGATGAGGGGTCTGGATACAGGTAGAGCTGTAAGGTGGAAGGGAGGAAATAAAGGGTCACAGTAAAACAAACCTAAAGGGAGGGAAGAAACAATGGCCTTATGTGAAATCAAGCAGGAGAGAGAGCCAGGCTTAGCCAAACAGATCTTAGAATCAAAGTTTGGTCCCACTGAAGTTCATGGCAAAATTTTCATTGACTTCAGTGGAGACAGGATTTGGCCCTGAGAAAGTGTTCACATTTGGTTCAGTGGGTAGATGAAGTTTCTGTTGGAATCCTGGTTTTCCTACATCTAATTAATACAATCTCTCAAACAAACCTACTGATTTGAAAACAAAAACTTAGTGTGTGTATTCACTGAATCAACAATCAAGAGAGAAATGGCACTTGTACAAAAGCCAGCAGGGGGGATGACTGTGAACTGCAAGAGTTTTTCACACCGATTTTCTTTCCTCCCCCCACAGTCTGGAACTGAGGTGGTCTCAAATTGAAATGCAACAGGCTGCGTATGAGGTGTGTGAGAATGTCGGAATGTTGTCTTTGAAAATCACCAGAACAGGGCATTCCATAGACTCTGCCTTTATTGCAGTGAAGGTAAGGTTAAAAAACAAAATTTGTGTGGGAACTGAATAATGGCCAGAAGCAGTTACTTTCTTTCTTATAATTACAGGAGCTGTTTGATTGGGTTGGTAAGCATGAATCATGCTCTTTATAAGGAAACAGGTCATATGGTTCAAGCCGTGTCCATTTTCTTGCAGGTTTAGAGCTAATGCCGTTTCTCTGGCAAGCACCGCATGTTTTTGTTCAATAGCTTACAACCCAGTTCGATGAGAAATTGTAGACTGATGGCTGTAAATAGCCCTAACTGAAAACTGATCCTGTCCTCACTGAGCACAGTGGAAAATTTTCCCGTTGATTTCTGTAGGGGCAAGACTGGATCCATAATGATGTATCTAAAGCTGTTTTCCCTTTATCATGGATAGAATTGTTTATACTCTGAGGATCATAGTCTAGTTGGCATTGAGCTTTTGACACTTGTAGGCCAGATAAATTAAGCCCAGGAGAAAATATACAAGGTGAAAACTCCCAAATTCTACCTTTTGTGAAAAGTAATGGAGAACCACGATTCCCCAAGCTTCTGTATGTACATGGCCCTTCTGATGAGGCAATGGTGTGTAAGGCCAACCTGCAATTTATCATGGGATGGACCCTACTAACTTTGCAGTGCGGATACTGGGGAAGTATGATCTCTTAAGAGCTGATCATTCTCAAATTCCTTTCCCATAATTCCCCTAAGAGACAGACAAATTCTCCTGCAATTGACACTATTGACTGGAAAAGAATCCAGGAGCATATCAGTGCACAGAACTATGGTACATATTCCCAGACACACATAGGGCAGTGCAGGAACAATGAGGACAAATAATGCAGGAAGACTGTGAGGATGCTCATACTCTTGCTGGGCTAACCCCAGTTCCAATCACCCAGGCCAAATGTCCAGTGTACACTTTTAGGGAGTTACTGTGTCTGTTTCAAAGTGCCGGCTATAACTATGGCCCCAGAGTAAAAATGCTAAGTGATTCCTCTTATACAGTGATTAGAGATGTGAAATTACAAGATAAATAATGAGCTTTTATATTATGACTTTCAACCCAAAGGCAAGGTTGGAGTTTGGGGGAAACAGAGGCTCCCCTGTTTAAACTGGCAAGATTTAATTTTCTTCCTATTTCTTTTCTCATTCAAGTGTCACAATGTATCATACAGTACTGTGTGTGCTTTTGAGAATATCCATTGTAGCTTGCAGCATATTAGAATGCATTGGTTTGATTAAATAGACTAAAAAGATTTAGAAAGATTAGGCTTTTCCATTGTATGGTATTCTCTGTTTAATTTCTTCTTAGGTTAAAGAAGTGTCTGCTACATTGGGAAAGGATTTTACTGTGACTCCCTCAAAGCTCATTCAGTTTGATCCAGGTATGTGGTGGCATATCAGTTCTAATTGTACAATGAAATGTGAAAGGTGCCATATTGGACAGCAAAGTCTTTTAACTCATTAACTAAAAAGGTAAAGCAGGGTCATTGCCAGTGTAATCTTCTGCACCCTAAACTCAAACTGTTCAATGAACTGATCAGTCTCCATCTCCATTAATTCCTTGACCTCTCCACTGAGACTGCTAACAAAGGTGGCATTACTGCCAAGCGTAATGGAAGCTTTAAGGGTTTTCACATTTTTATAATTTGTGTCTGAATACTACATTGTGTGGAGGGACTCCATAGAATGTCTTCTAATACAGCTTATAAAAGAGAACTCCAAATAGCAGACACAATGTTTATTTTCTTAATTGAGATGAAGTAATTTTTACTATGCTCTTTCTAAAGAGATAGATGCTTAACTGCTATCCTTTACAGAAGTGCAGGGTGGTAGTTGAGTGAACAACAGAAATGGAAGAAATACAGTAATTCCTCATTTAACACGATAGATGTGTTTCTGAAAATGTTCATGCTAACTGAAAACGTGCTATGTGGGATCAATTTTCCTGTTAAAAATAATGGAAAAAGTGGGGGTTGCGTTTCAGGTGGTGGTGGTGAAGTCAATTTTTTGTTGGTACTGGGTCGTCAATGTCAACATTAGATGATGTAGATAGAACAGGGAACAGGGCTATCTTGTTCATCAGCTGATTTTTTTTTTTTTTTTAGGTTAAACAGGAGAAAAAACTTTTGATAGAGGGCTGCTTTTTGTTTTTTGTTGTGAAGTTACTTGTAGCAAGATATGGTGCTTTCTAAGCTTTTTGCTACTTTTGAGCTCCATTCACAAACAGGATGATTCTCATAAAAAATGTTTATTACATCACTTATAAACGATTCTCATAAAAATGTTTATTACATCACTTATAAACACAAGTCACCGCGGTTTGTTAAAACACAAAGATAAACATGTGAGTGAGCAGAGGATCACTGTGACCACGTGTATTCATCTGCTCTTGTGTATTACCACCATTTTCACCAACTTATACCACCACGCAAAGTAGTCTACCACTGGATTATCTACCACTGGCCCTCCCAGTTCAGGGTCCCCTCCTCCCCCCTCCCCACAGTGCACTCCCTTCCCCATGTAAATAAAAAAGTGCCTTATGTACAGCAAGTGCATTTTATATATTGGGAGGTGAGGGAAGGGTGGCAGGAAGGGGTGGTGGTGGGAAGTGGGGGCACGGGGACGTCCCTACGGTCAGAGGTGTAAGGGAGGTGTAGGAGTGGCCTATTGTGGGGCCTGGTCCAGCATCACCCGGAGGGCTTCCCGGACCCGAACCCCATGGCAGTTGGTCTGCCGGGTGGCAGCCATGTGGGGCTGCTGGTAGGTCTGGCCCTCACCTACCATCCACCTGAGGAGGAAGGTCTTCCCCCTCCCCTCAATAATATTGTGGAGCACGCAACATGCAAAGATGACCTCCGGGATGTGGTGCTCCCCCATGTCCAGGCGGGTCAGGAGGCACCTAAACCATGTCTTCAGACGGCCAAAGGTGCACTCGACGGGATTGTGGGCCCGGTCCAGGTGGCTGTTGAATGTGGCCTGGCTGTGGTCCAGGTGGCCGGTGTATGGCCACATCAGCCAGGCCATCAGGGGGTAGGCCGTATCCCCCAAGATGCACACTGGCATCCTGACATCCCCAATGCTGAATTCCCGCTGGTGAATTCCCAAGGTGCCCGCCTCCAGCCTGTGGCACAGGCCTGAGTGCCTGAAGATGCGAGTGTCATGGGCCTGCACGGACCACCCCGAACTGGTTCGTCACGGAGCGGTAGCTGTCCAGGGTGGCCAGTTTCCAGAGGGCAATCGCAACCGTCTTCTCCACAGAGATGGCGGGGAACAGATGGGTGTCCTGCTTCTAGAGAGCAGGGGTGAGCCAGGTGCAGAGCTCATGGAATGTCCCCCTGCGCAACCAAAAGTTCTGCACCCATTGCTGGTCTTCCCATTGTCCCAGCACCATGCACTCCCACCAATCCCCACTGGTGTCGTAGCTCCAGAGGCGCCTGTCAGTGGTGGGGTGCAGGTGCCCGAGCCCAACTGCAGTCGTGGTGAGGTCCTGCACCTGCTGCCCAGTCTCCAGCTCCTGCTGGAGCAATGTGGCTCCCCGGGGGAGGAGCTCCACAGCCTCTGTAATGGCCATGAGGAGCGGATGTTGCTGGCTGGGGTCCTCCTCCAGCTCCATGGCTGTGACGGTGGCAGCGAGGGTGCCCAGGGGCACTTGCCAGGAACAGAGGTGACAGGTGCTGTTCTGGCTCTCGCTCTTTCAAAAGGGTGTGTGAGCATGCAGCCACAGGGAAATGGCCTTCCAGGAGTCCCTTTAAGTACGTTTCCCAGTGGGGGTCCGGCGCGTGTCCACAGACGCTGCTGGTGACCTTCTGACATGGCCGATTTGCTTCCGGAGACACGTTCTTGTGCAAGGGCTTCCCGCCAGTGTGGACACTTTCTTGCGCAAGAGCTCAGCGTTCTTACGATGTGGTTCTGGCCAGTGTAGACGTTTTCTTGAGCAAGAGATCTTGTGCAAGTATACTTGCGCAAGATATTCCTGCGCAAGAACCCGCCAGTGTAGACATAGCCTAGGTGTGTGGGTTACAGAAGTATTTACTTTCAATGTGTGTTGGGTAAGAGCCCATAATCTCAGATTGAAGATGCAATTGAAAGGAAATGGAGACCAAAACAAATGGGAGGCCAATAGTGGCAGCATAAATAAATAATACTGTATATATGTATCTTACTACATGTATGCAGAATATCCATCTTAAATCTGAGTCAGTTTTGTACAGAAAAATAGTACTAATCCTAGAGGTTTCCCTAACAATAATGCCTATGCTGGAATCTGGGTCTGATCAACTAAAATGTGACTTTTCCTAATGGAAATGTTTAAGAGAAGGTCTTTGCATATTATCATGCATTCGCCTCTAAAGCTGTGTGTGTGAGTGTAAATATATATCTACACACATATCACATACTGTCATTTGATGTATGTTTATTTATTGGCCTTTCAACTAATGACCAAAATACTCCTCTGAATTAGAAATAGAATTTGTTCTCATTTCTACTGGTGTAAATCTGAAATAACTCAATTAAAGCCAATAAATTTCTCAGATGTTATAATTGAGGACAGAATCTGGCTTTTGAAATATAGAACTAAAAGTGCAATTTTTGATTAGTTAGCTAAATATTTTAAAGAATTGTAGCATCTCTAGAATCAAGATTCGGAGATAAAAAGAATACATCACATTTCTCTTTAAAATTGCAACTGAACCCCTAAATCTATGTATTGTATCCATCATTTCCCATGTCTGAGGCAGCTTTTTGTTACACTGTGTGCACATGAACTGAATCATCATTGTCCAGGAACAAAATTATTTGAGAGAACAGCAGGAGTCCAGTCAGTTGGTATGAGCACAATAGCATACAGAGGCAATTCCATTCTAGCTGTAGACATGTTAATTAATATTTTTTTTGACACCCAGATTGATTGAAATAGCAATTAAAGAGTAATTAAAATGTTTACTTCTGGTAGGAATGTCAACCAAGACGTGGAATATAGCAATTACCTATGACGGATTAGAGGAAGATGATGAGGTCTTTGAAGTAGTTCTGAACTCCCCTGTGAATGCAATTCTTGGCACCAGGACAAAAACTGTAGTGAAAATTCTGGACTCAAAAAGAGGTATTCATTTTTGATCATCATCTTTAAAATCTGAAGCAATATTGGCTGATTAGCCACTAACTTTCAACAAAAAATGTTGCCAATACTTACCTTTAAATCAAAATGCTTAATTTAAAAAAAAAAGAAAACAGCATGAAGAAAGCAACAAGTATTAAAGAAAAAAAAATTGCTAATCACAAGCATATTAGATTTTAGCATTCATCATTATTTTCAAAGGAATTTATTTTGAAGGTCGATTAAAATATTTTTCTGGTGTTTGTGTAATAGTTGTTGCGTTCCTTCAGGAAAGATGTCAGAAAAAAAATTAACAACTGAAACCAGCCCTTAAATTCTGTAATATCCTATTAGTTTGGGCAGTTCATAGATTCATAGAAGATTAGGGTTGAAAGAAACATCAGGAAGTCATCTAGTCAAACTCCCAGCTCAAAACAGGATCAATCCCAATTAAATCACTCCAGTCAGAACTCTGTCAAGCCTGGCCTTAAAAATCTCCACCAGTTCCCTAGGTGACCCATTTCAGTGCTCCACCACTCTCGTAGTGAAATAGTTTTTCCTAATATCCAACCTACACCTAGCTCCCCCACTCCCCCCCATACTGCGAATTGAGACTTTTGATTCTTGACTCTATTCATCCTCTTTGGAAACCCTCTTCAGGCAGTTGAATGCTGCTATAATATCCTCCCTTACTCTTCTCTTCTACAGACTGAATAAGCCCAAATCCCTCAGCCTCTCCAGAGCAAGGGGTGGGGCACTGGGAGATTGGGGCCACCGGAGCAGGCAGGAGATTGGTTTGGGGGTTGTGGGTTTCAGTCCTCAGGCCGCCAGAGTCTGCCCTGCCCATTGGCTGGCACTAGGCATATGCAGGATAGGGCAGCACTATGCTGTTGTATTTGTCAGTGATTGACTGTGGTGTGTTTTCATGTGGAAACAGCTGAGGAAAGTACAAGTAATTATCTAGACAGCTAAATGCTTTGAGGATTGGAGAATCTTCTTCTGTCTGGTCACTAGCAGAACAGCAAGAACCATCAAAATGTAAAAATGAATTTGGATTAATTTGGCAAAGGTCATTTTTAAAGATGCAGCATTTCATTTTCTGTTTAGTAACTCAGATGACCAGATGTCCAAGTATTAGAGGCTTTGTCTTACCCTAGCTCCATCCCCACACACATACTCCCCATACTAAAATAAATGTCCATGTGTTTCTCATTTGCTATTTGGTCACCCTATTTGTTAAAATGATGTAAATCCAAATTACTCAACTGAAGTCAGAGCTTCATCAGTATAAAACTGGTTTGAGAGGGAAATAGGGCCATGTCAAAGCCTGAAAAAGAAGGGACCTATGACTTATAAGGCCAATGGGACCAATGGGCTGCGTCTGATTCACTAATAGGAAAGATACTTGGGCTTTATAAGGGAAAAAAGAATCAGCCAGGAGAGGGACTCAACTTTGTGTGAGAAATAGTTGAAAAGCTGGGGATTGCTGCTGGAGACAAAATAACTGGGGAGTTGTTTGAGGTGGTGCTGAGCTCCTGATAGGACTCCTGAGGGCAGCAGACTTTGGGAAGCTTTCTGAAGACGGTGGCTTTGAAGATCCACAGACCACAAGTCCACAAGGAGGAGCTAAGTAACTCAAAGGACTCCAAAGGGAAAGATAATAAAGAGCACCCAGGGAGAGCTGATGTGCTGTGTGACGGGGGAAGCTGAAGAGATGAAGGACAGTGAAAGTGATTAAACATGCCTCAGTCCAGTGGTAGACCAGAGAGACTGTATTTGAGGCTTCAAAATAGACAGACCTTCAGGAAAGGAGGGGATTGAACCTAATGGGAAACTAGGACAAGAGAGACTGTGTCTGAGCATATTCTAGAGGCTTTGGTGTGTTTGATGGGCATTGGGGGACTTATTGGTAGCTCCTGGGTGAAGTGAAACTGAGGCCAGCTGCTGCTGAATCATGTAAGGGTCAGAAAAGAGTGCTACAGAATACGTATGGTCACTTGGGGTGCATCTACACTTAACCCTTACCTTCAAATAAGCTATGCAATTTGTGCTACAAAAATTGCATAGCTTATTTTGAGATGATTTCAAAATAAACAATGCCAAATAGTTAACTATATCTGAAAATCTATCGACCAAATGGGTACTTTCAACAGGTACCTCTGAGTGCATTTGATTTGCAGGGAGTTGATTTTATTTACTTGTGCTAAAGTAATTAGATTTTTACTTCTCACAGATCATACTATCCCTGAAAGCTGTTTTCCTCTAGGTAAACAAATCAGAGAAATGAGGACTAGTGAATAAATAGCAAATCGGCAACATCAAATGAAAAATCATCCAACTTTTAATGACAAGCTGTTTCAGTGCCCTAGTCAATGTGACCAGCTATCTGCTTATATAAAAAAAGCCTGACCATCTGCCATCTTGTATGCTTTCAGGTCAATGCAGCTCTTTCCGATCCTCTGGCCAAAACAAGCACAACTTATGGGGGACAGGCACATTGCTTCCAGTTTCCTCAGGCTCTTCATTGCTCTCCAATCCCAGCACTGTTCACTTGGAAGAAATCCCACCTTCCTCTTCAAAAGAGATGATGGTGCATAGAGGGGATGTGTTACAGGAATTCAACGTGGTGAATCTGTCAAGGATGAGGCTTAGAGCCGTCAGAAATGGCAGAATAGTAAGGCAGATCTATTTTACGGTGATGGGATAGTGATTTTAAATAGTGATCTGACCTGAATTTACTGTAGCTAGAAAATATCTGTGCATTGAGTAAATAAGATTTAAGAGGCTTTTGAGACTATACTGTATCTTCTAAAGTCTTGAAATGGAGGATGTGTCTATCCAGGGGTGGATATAGGGCAGGGCAAACTGGGTGGCCGCCCCGGGCCCCGCCCTTCAGAAAGCCCCGCGCATGCACCGTGGCGCCGCTGCGCATGCACATGGCGTCACTGCGCATGCGCCGTGGCAAAGGGGGGCCCAGAGCCCTGCAAAACGGTCATCTGCCCCTGTGTCTATCTGAGAAAGCTGAGTTGAGGAAGGAAATGTGTATCAAGCAGCTAACCAAAATAATGCAAATTCCAATGGGGTAGATTCTCAGCTGGAGTAAATCAGCAGAGTTCTATAAAATTAATGGAATTAGGTCAATTTTTCAGAACTACCAGCTGATCCTGAAGGTACCAGAAAATAAATAAATAAATAAATAAGATGTACCTAAATTGGAAAAAACAGTGCAGACACGTCACGAGGCAGATTTCATGTACCCTGATGTGATTCATATGAGATTGTGATCTTTAACTGGTTATATAAACAGACTTTGTGTGCCCTTTTGTGTATCAGGCCTAGTCTACACTTAAAATTTAGTTTGATACTGCTATGGCACTCGGAGGAGTGAAAAATTCACACCCCTAAATGTTGTAACTAGAGCTGTCTCTTGGGTACAGCAAATTGGGGCAATCTTCCTAGGCCTTCGGGGGGACTCTGTGGGGAAGTGAGGCAGGCAGATGGACAGGAGGGGGGAAAGGTGAGGAGGAAAGAATAAAATGGATGGATTCTGAGCACTCCCAAACAGCCCTCCGAACAGAACCCCTTCCTCTCTCCCAGTGCCTACTGCCTGCCACAGATCAGATGTTTCATAGCATCAGGCATGGAGGGGAGGAAGAGAGCAAGAACATAGAGCACTCAGGGGAGGGGGCAGAACTGTGCAGAGCAGGGGAAAAGCAGGGTAGGGTGGGGCCTTATGAGAAGAGCGGGAGTGGGGTGGGGCCTGGGTGGAGCCAGGGATATCACCACCCAGCAAATTAGGAACTTGGTGCCTATATCCTGAACCTGGCAGTAGGTATGCCAACGTAGCTCCCAGTATCACACAGCTTGGTTGATGGAAGAGTGTGTCCATTGATCTAGCTAATTTTATTTCTCAAGTACAGTAGTTCCCAACTTTTTTTTATAATGTGGACTGGCAAACCCATTCACAAATGTTTAGCAGACTGGAAACATTATATTTGCATATTCATTACACAAATAATTACTATGTAAATATGCAAATGTGGTGTTGCCCAAAAGCCTTGGCCCCCAAAGCCACCATGAACAGCTGGTTTCAGCTCTAGCAGTCACCATGTGGAAGATAGCTGCCACAGCCGAAGCTGGCTTTTCGCAGTGGCTCTGGGGCCAAGGCTGGGGTACACCCCTGTCCTCTGAGCCCCCCCAGTGCCACCAAACTCCTGTTTCCAGAGCCCCACTGCACCCAACCCCCCCAGAGACCCTCCAGTGCCAGCTTCTAGTCCTCAATATTATCCCTGTATTCAGAGCCACCCACTGCCAGCCCTGCCCTGCAGCAGCACCCCCACTATTAGTCCCATCCCCAGAGCCCCCTAGTGCCAGCACCTCACAAAGGATACCCCAGTGCCTACCAGTGTAAGCCCCCCCACCTCTTAGAGCCCAGCAGTGCTAGCCCCCCCGCCTCTTAGAGGCCCCTGTCCCAGAGTTCCCCATCACTAGCCCTTCCCCCGGAGTCCCCAGTGCCTGCCCCAGACCCCTCACCTAGCCCTGCGCTACCTTCCAGCTGCCATTTGAGTGCTGCTGCCATGTTGGGCTCTGCATGGTCATGCCACCGTGCAGCAAACTGCCCCTGCCCGGCACTGGTTGGCTGAAAGGCTGTGCAGGACATGCCTCTCTGAATTGCCATGGTAAGAGGGGAAACTGGGTGCTGTACCCCAGCCTTCCCTCAGAGCCACCACAATCCAGTAGCCAGCGGGTCACGGACTACACCAGTCCGTGGACCAGCAGTTGGGAACCGCCGCTCAAGGAGATAGAATTCTACAATGACAGAAAATATTTTTCCATTGCTGTAGGTTGCCTACACTATGAGGTTATGCCAGCATAGCTACAGTACTCTACTATGCCAATGTAGTCCCTGTAATGTAGGACAGGTTTAATTGCCCACTTTTGGATGTCTGCCTCCATTGTAGAGGGAAAAATTAAAAGCAAGTATAAAATCTGTAGTGTTTGCTAACGTAGATTATCCATCATCAGCTACCCCAGTAAGACCTCCATGAAAGCTTCAGATAGAAACCTGCTTCTATATTGTGTATATATGAAAACTCATTTTACTGTCTGACCTTTTCAGGTTCGTCCTTCATCTGTGTTAAGAAATGGCACCGATGTGGCTTTTAGAGTAAGAATATTATAATGTGGCTGCTTATGTGATTCTCTCCTTATTGTGTCTTACCTTAGCTGCATGTACAACTATTTTAATAATTTGATGTAGTAAATGCTGATTGCATGTTCTCATTCTTTTTGCCTTTCTGGAGTGTGTGTGTGGGGGTGGGGGAAAGGGCTCTTCCCTTTGATTGACAATAATTTGTGCTTCAAAATTCCTTTCCATTGTTGTGAGGAGAATTTGAAGCTGCTTATGAATTGTAATCTTCCTTTTCCCCCCCCCTGTTACTTTAAAAATCAAGTATCAGGGGTTGGTTTCTCTCAGAGCTGAGAATGACACCTCATCAGCTAATGCAAACAAGGCTAATGAGTCAATAATTAACCAAGGGCAGACAAAGATAAATATGATCTCCTCCAGGAAGATAGAAGTCCCACAAGCTGATAAGGCAGAATTGATGTCTGAATCACACGCTAGCCAACAGGTCTGAAAAACTTTTGTTTCATAGGCATCTTCACCAACTGTTTTAACTCAAGTTGTTATCTGAGATATTTCTCAGAACCCCATATCCTACCTCCAAAATTTACTCTTCTAGTTCTTTAGACCAATGTAGCCAATACTTGGATAAATTAGCAACTCAACATATTTAGTGTGGCATGTCACAATAGGCACAGAGTCTGGGGCTGCTCTTGGGCTGAAGCACCCACAGAAAAAAAATAATGGGTGCTCAGCACCCTCCACCACTCCTGTAGATCAGCACCTGCTGCCTCTCAGGGAACATCTACACTGCATGGCTATTTTGGGATATCAGAGGTATCCCAAAATAGCTACCCTGCGTCTACACAAGCTGCCCGGTATTTCAAAATATTTCGATGCCGCTGCTATTTCGGCATCCCAGTAAACCTTGTTGCACAAGGGATAAGGAATGGCTTGAAATCACACGTTATTTCGAAATTTGGTGCTGTGTATACGTGCCAAATTTAAAAATAAGTTATTTCGAAATAGATTTGAAATAAGATACACAATTTGTGTAGTGCTAATGCGTATTTTATTTTCAGTTTAGGGTGCTGTGTAGATGCGCCCTCAGTGACTCTCGCAGATCAGCTTCTTCCCTACATCCCAGTGCGTCCTGCTCACCTTGGATCAGCTGTTTAGCAGCATGCAGGAGGCACTGGGGGAGAAGGAGAGGGACAGGGGTTGGGCAGGAGCAGAGTAGGGACGGGACCAGCCAAGGGTGGGGACTGGGAGGAAGGGTATAGTGGAGGTGGGACTAGGGATGAAGCAGGTGTCGAGCCCCCCCAGGAGTCTGAGTAAGTTGGTGCCTATGTATGTCATAATCTGACCATTCTGTTCCATTTAACCATTTTGCTTCAATGTACAAATATTATTCCTTTTTTTAGGACCCAGTCCTCTCATTACCAAAGAGCTGCACTCCTGATTTAGAAGGGCTCTTGCATTTTGACGAACACACCCAAAACTTATTTCAGTGTGATGGGATTTCATGGAAGTTATGGACTTCGAAAAGCAAGGTAACTATTGTCTGGCCTTTGTATGTGTTTAATTTAAAGCTACCCCAAGGTTAAATTGTATAGTCCTTTGCACAAGGCATTTTGATTTATTGTAATACAGATTTTGGATTTTGGTTGATACATTCAGGCTACATTTTGGCCACAAAGCATTTTGATTTTGTATTTTGGTTGATACATTCAGGCTACATTTTGGAGGAGTAAAAAGGGAACATTTCTTTATAAGAAGTTTCAAGAAGGCTTAGCAAAAACCGGTCAAAATAGTGTTTCTTGACATGATGTTGATACATCTTAAACATCTTTAGATGCAGTTTCATCGGTGTTGCCTGAATCAGCTGGCACGGGACAGCAGCTGGTGTTCAATGCAGTGTAGACAGACCCATAATGTACAGTTCCTACCATAGTGGCACTGCTGGGTGCTACCATAATGCATGTAGGAAAGGATCCAACAAGAATAATTGGAAGGCTGGAATGTATGCCTTACAACAAGAGACTCGATACATTTAGCACGTTGAAAGAGAGTTGGGAACTCACTTGATCATGGGCTCTAAGCACCCGTATAGGGAACTAATATCAGCAGGCTCTTTAATTTAGTAGCTAGACAAAGACATACAACCCTGTGGCTGGAAACTGAAGTTAGACAACAACACCCAACAAAATTATTAATCTGAAAAAGACTGCTTTGATCTTGTGCATGCCTACTCCACTAGATGAATGTTGCATGCATTCTATCTTTTGAAATTACAGATGTTGAATTAAAAACAACTCCTTCAGTTTTATTAATATAAACAAATATTTGCATTTGTTTTGATCCAGAAGGGGCATGTAAAGCAGCACTTTCAGAAGGCTGATGCTTGTAACAAGTCACTGTAAGCATAAGCAATCTATTTATTTCAGGATGTTAGCATGAAAAAATGCCCATCTGGATGGAGCCATCATGGTGGCAGCTGTTATTTCCTGGTTACAGATCAGAAAGCCACTTGGAACACAGCTGCTCGGGCTTGCCGAGAACAGTAAGTCTTTTTCAGATTGATCATTTTAATTGGTAGTTGGGTGTCGCTCTGACCTGCACCGAGTGGCTTCTTAGCCGCAGTTGATTCTGTTAACCCCCATTGCATCGATGCTTTACAACCAAGGGTTCTGGCCCCATTCAAGAACTAATATAAAAATAAAAGCCCAAGAAAGGTTAATCTCAATATGTTTGTGTTGGATTCTTACCCCACCATCTTTAAGATTTCCATTCCCGCAATGCCTTGTTTGCAGTAGTGACACTTTCCCCAGAACATGAATGAATGGGGAGTTGGGGAGGAAAGTGAAGACAATGTCTCACATACTTCACCCTCCAGCTCATTAACTAACACTTTCCTGCTTCCACGGCATCGTTCGAAGAACAATAGGGACAGTGTAACCAGCTGCAACAATTTTATTGTGTGCCTCACAACATTTGGGGTTTGGTTTTTTTGCTTAAAATGACCAAAAAATGACTTGTTTCTTGGAGTCATGTGAAGACATGAGAATTTTGGCTTGAATTTAAAAACAAAATTTCTAGCCCTCCAACTTGTGGAAAAAAGTTAGAACCTCTACAGTTCTCCAGTACTAGAAGGCAAATAAAGAGAACCCAGCACTAAATGACTTAAAGGCATATAATTTCTGAACAATCTTGTGTTTTGTTTTCTTTTCTTTTTGGGGGTAGAGGGAGGCTGACTCATAATTTGTGAAAACTTGGAGCTGGAAATGCTTATAGCACAGACTCAACATAACCCTGGGGAGGCGAGTTTGTTTATTCTCTACCATACAATGGAATCTGGGAGAGCAGTGATGTTCTGTTAAACTTTATAGTGCTGAAGCTTAGCAGAGCACACATATGGTGGGTGCATTTCTTCCTCTCTTTCTAGTCTCTTCACCTACTGTGTGATACATCCTTCTATCCTGTAAGCATTTCAGCATGCTTAGTCAGGGTGGGACCACATTTCTCATCCTTACTTTAAAGGGGCCTCAAACTCAGTTTATCATATAAAAATGTATTTCTGTGCACAAGTTACTTTCACATCTATAGGACATTCATTGGGCTCACAGTTCTGTGGTTAAAAAACTCCACAGAAGTTGACTGAAGCAGGAGAGGAGGGAGTAAAGCAGGATGTAGGGAACCCCCAAGCTGTGGGCTGCATGCAGTTCATCACAGTTAACCATTGGTGGGTGGCTAGACAGTTTGCTTCCTAGATCATCCATAGGCATAGACCCCTGAATCTCTGGTTGGTTGGAATTCGACATTCTTGGCCAATGAGAACTGTGGGAAGCGGTGAGTGCTGGGCCACCACTTCCATTGGGCAGAGCTCAATGCCTGCAGGTGTTCAGGTAAACAAACCCTCTCGTGTCCTGGCAGTGGTTAGCACTGTCAAGTCGCGTGTGGCTGGCCTGCTGGAAGTTCTCATCCCCTGGAATAAAGGAAGGGGCCAGGGAGATAGGAAAGCAGATGAGTCATTTCCTAAGATCCCTAGCTAGAATTCTCCAGGATCCTTTTCTGTCCTTAGAAGCCCTCTGAATGCTGGTTCCAACCCGGATAAGAAGCTCTGGGGCATGGATAATGGTGGCAGACTTGTGGAGTCAGTTGTGATGAGGTGAAAGGGTTCAAGTCAAACAAGGACAGCAGAGGGGCCAGGCCTCAGAACTGTCATGCAATGGGGAGCTGTGGAGGGCTACAGCTGGCTGACCATAGGGATGCTATAGGGAATGACTGGAGTGAGGGATGATTAGGACCAGGCTCATCCAGAAAAGTGGCTAGGGAGGAGCCAGTGTGGGGGTTGAATGAGGCTATCACCCTAGGGTTGGAACCCATGTTTCACAGTCACTGACCTCGGCTGTCCTTGGGAAGGCAGGGAGCAGGCATAGACACCTCCCAACATGAGGGCCAGCATAGCAGGATAGAGACGGGAACAGAACTTGGGAAGCCCTGCCAGCCTCTAGGGACTTATTTCTCCTGGAGCCCCTGATAGATTCTGAAGCTGAGTTGAACAGGGGCCAGAACTTGTCTCTGCACCCAACTCTCTCTGCCCCTCCCCCCACACTTGGCTCCGGGCTGTGATGGGGCTGTGCAAGTATTGCTGCCCTTGGGACTGCTCCACTGGGACTGTAATGGCAGGGGGGGGGGGGGGGGCTAGAAGAACTCTCCTTAGGGCTCTTCGGCAATAACCACCCCACTCCAATCTGCTTCTCTAGCTCTGTGGCCCCTTCCTTTATTCCCTCTCTGCTCCCATCCGGCTTCGCTCATATTATTGGAGCTGCCTCCTTTATGCTCAAGGTTTAACTGATCAGCATATTTGGGGTTGGGAAGGAATTCCCCCTCCCACGCAGATTGGCAGATGCCTGGGATGGGGGAAGTTGCCTTCCTCCTCAGCACGGGGCATGGGACACTTGCGTATCTGGTGGATTCTCTTTAACTTGAAGTATTTAAATGATGATTTGAGACGTCAGTGACTCAGCCATAGCTTAGGGTCTATTTTACAGGAGTGGGTGGGTGAGGTTTTCTGACCTGCGATGTGCAGGAGGAGGTCAGTCTAGATCATCAAGAATGGTCCCTTCTGACCGTAAAGTATTAAGAGTGGATTTTGCTTGATGTGGGCTGTGGCCTCTGAGCTTGCTTCCCAATCCTGAGATTTTGGGGGGTGAAGAGGTGAGCAGGGGAAGGTCTTATAATGCCACTTGAATTTAGCTTTGTGGATATTGTGGCACGGGCAGTGGCTTGGGCTAGTCACCAGAGTCAAAGCCCACCTGATCCTGGGTGGCTAGCTGCCCACACCACTGTTTTAGCATGCTAGCTTGAGCTGGGTTCTCATAAGTCAATTCACCTGCGCTGCAAAACACACCTCCCAGCTGCAATGCAGGCCTACCCTGAGGCTTTGTAAGTGGCAGACTGCATGAGACGTGAAAGTGGATTGGGCCTAGCAAGTACCCATTTGGACCCTGCTGCTAGTCTGTAAAATAAAAGGTGCAACAGAGAGGAGCCACAGGTGAAAAGAGTTTACTGGGGACTGGATTAGAGCATCTGTTTTGAGCCAGAGGAGCATAGAGAATCAAAGTACTGCTTAATTGATTCCTGATCATTTGAGTCTACTCTGGACAACTGGCAAATGTTAGGCCTTAGTTCTTGTTCCAGCCCAACAAAATTCACCCATCCTAACTAAAAGGTCAGCTCAGGTGGACAGCTCTGGCCATTCTTATCATGAATCTCAAGGTGGTGTTCATACAGTTCCAGCTCCTGGACCCAAGTGCTCACAGCAGAGTCCCACCTTCCCTTTTTAAAAAGGAAGTGTCTAGGCCTCCTGACTATAGAGAAAAGTTGGGAAAGTGTGATGCAAGGGCACCCTAAAAGTTCAGACGTCAGAAAGCAAGAAACCTCATTTTTGTTAATTTCATTATTTCAATGGATCTGGTTGGTGATCTGTTGATAGCTTGAGGTTGGCAATACAGTCTACGGTACTTCTTCCCAACCTACAAGTGAAAGGGAAGGGGAAAGGTCCCTCTCCTGGCCTCTCTGCTGTTTGAGGCAGTTTTCCTCTGGTTGTATTTATTGTGGCAACAAAATTTGCTCCCACATTCATTATGACTTTGTTTTGCCTGGTGAGTAATATGAACCATATCATGACCCTTTTCCTGTCTTTTTCCAAACAACATTCCTAAGGACAAAGTCAAATTAAGATAGGCACCTTCAGCTACGTTAATTGCATAGCTGAAGTCGAACTAGCTTAATTTGGCTTTTGTTGCTATCTATACTGCAGGAAGTCGAAGGAAGAATACTCTTCCCTTGACTTCTCTTACTCCTTGTGAAAGTACGGTAACTGGCATCAACCAGAGTGCCCCTCTTGCTTCAAATTAGCTGTCTTCACTAATAACTGGCATCAACCAGAGTTCCCCTTTCGCTTCAAATTAGCTGTCTTCACTAGACCTCCAATTGTGCTGGAAGATCGACAGCAGCAGCTTAGATCTTCCTTGGTAGCGTAGACATACCCAAACAAAGCTGTCAGGTCTGCAGATCCTGATTATTTTCTCTCTCAAATCCCTTTAACATTCCACTAACTGGGAGGAACCCTCCCTAAATTATAGAAGTCAGACTTCTGTTCTCTGGGAAGTCCACCTTGTGTGCGACAGCAGCTGCAGAGACTCCTTTCCTTCTAGGAAGTTGTGCATAATATGAGAATTAAATAAGGTTACATTATGGTTGGGAACACCAAGAGGAAAAGTCAAGACTATCAGCCAACTAAAAAGGAAAAAAACAGAAAAAAACCCACCTGTTATGAGCTGTGATAATTTAATTAAAGCCAGAGACTTCTGTGTTCCTCCCCCCTCTACTGCAAATGGCTTACAGATGTGTAGGTCCCAGTCTCAGAAGATGTTTAATTCATTTTAAAGTGCTGATTGGGAGATAAGTTAATACATTGTTTTATTTTTCCATTTTTTTCTTTTTGTTACTGGAACAGATCAGTAGTTTCATTCCCAAAGTAATGCAAGTACAGCTCCTTGTTATTTTACTGGTGATATTAGAGCTGTAACGAGTTTCAGGTGGTTTGAATTCCAGTGAAATAGCCAGCTTCCGAACTCTGAAAAACTCATTTCACTACCTGGTTTTCATCTGAGGAAACTGCTCGGTGGATTATTACTGGCCCTCCCCCCAGTTTTATAAGAAACAGTTGCTAGTGGATGTACAATTTAAAACCAAAAAAAAGTTAAGCAACAATGTGGTTTTCAACCTGGGGTCTGTGGACCCCTAAGTGTCCACAGACTATGTCTAAGATTTCCAAAGGGGTCTGCACCTTCATTTGAAAAGTAATATTATCCCCAAATGAAAAAAAATTTAAAACCCCAAGTTGGCTGTATAAATAGTCCCTGCAGAATCCCTGGAAGATCAACAAACTTAGGCCTTATCTAAACAGAGGAGTTGTATGGATATAGTTAGCCAAACTGTTCTAGAAGAACTCTCCTTAGGGCTCTTCGGCAATAACCACCCCACTCCAATCTG